TTACCTTCACTTTTACTGTACTTTCGTTCATTTGTCAGTTTCGATGTCTTTATCATCTTTTCGCATTAAGTCGCGGTTTCTCTCTTTTTGACTACTCCGTTTTTTCAATTCCGTTCTTTATTTCTTTTCTCATTTTTTTTCAAAACTTCCTTCCTCTTGGTGGGTCTTCCGATTTCCGTTTTCCGTTTTTCCGTTTTCCGTCTGTAAATTCTAATAGAAATAACAAAGGAATTGAGTCTTTGCCACAAATTTAGTTTTTGTAAAACCTATATCTTTGCAACCTTATGATGTAAACTTTTGATATTTCAAACTTACATTATTTGATCTAATAGCATTCATAGTTCGAAATATTAAAGGTCTACGACATTGGGTTGCAACGATATTGAAATTAATAAATCAGAGTTTGTGGCAAAAACTCAATTCCTTTAAAAAAAATGACATGAGAATGTTCGATTAACAAAGGGCGTGAATGGAATGGCAGGAAGAGTTAAGGGGAGGAGGTGGAGGCGTGTTGAGTTGATGATTCCTATTATATAAAGTATAAAGAGAAGATAAAGCTCTTTACATCCTTCTGTCTTCCAAGAAAATGTCAATTTTACGGTATGCCCAAAGTCTCTTACAGATAATCTATCTATTGTCCCCCGATCATCTATCTGTCAATCTATCTACTTTTCTATATGTCTATACAATTCTTATCCATCTCTTCAGTCATCCAAAACTGATCTGATCATATCCTCCGATCCAAAACTGATTTGATCACATCCTCCGATTCAAAACTGATCTGATCATATCCTCCGATCCCAAATTACTCCATCATTACCCCAGGCACACTCAACTAGTAATTTACCCAATTGAATATTAAAAACGATTGTATACAAACATTTTATTTTTACTAAAACTGTATTTTTTAGGGTTGAAATAAATTCATTTATTTACAACTTTCAGAAAATTAAAGTCTAATAATATTTTCAGCTTACAAAAACTACATCCAAGAGGCTTTTAAAGAATATTAACAAGGTTGATGTTAATAGATTTTCCTCTTTTTTTTGGTTCGGACTTTACATGATACATTTTACATTTTTGGGATCACTCGTATATTTTCGATGTTTACCTCCCAGGCTCCTACTGCATTAGTTACCCATATATAAAACTGTCTCTTAAAAAATGTCTCTCCTTGTTTCAAGTGACCCTCTATTTGAAGAGTGGAATGTCTGATTCTCGATGGTACTATATCTATCGGAGTAACGGTGGATTGAACGTGTTCGATTCTGACAATTTCTTTAATTGTCTCTGTAGAATTGTACAGAAATCATAATTAAAAAAATAACACATTTTTAACTATGTAAAATATATAAAGATACATGTTAAATTACGTTTACAGTCCCTTTAGATTAATTTTTTTCCAGTTTGGTTTTGTTAATAAAATAAGACTTTCGAATATACCGATTATCTTTATCTTTGGAAAAATATCATTTTTTCTTCTCTTCATACTGGCGATATTCCAGGTTGTGTATATGGAAGAGATTGCCAATTTTCTCCCAATAAACCAGGGAAATATTGAAAATATTTCATTTCTAACCTTGGCTTCTTAAACTTCAAACACATTTTTACTTTTTTATTTAAATAGAAAACATCTAAAACAAATTTTAGTTTATAAAAGCATGGATAGGGATGGATCGTTTTCGCTTTTTAAAAAGACGATCGGATCGTTTCGTTTTAAAACGTCGAAGAAAGACGAATAACGAAATGTTAGTTTTTAAAAATGATCGTTTTTGAAAAAGATTGTTTTTAAAACTAAAAACGAAGAAGTCTTTTTTCAGTTTTAGTTCGTCATATCATTAACGAATGTTTTTAATTTTTGACAGTCGTTAATGACGACCCTTCCTTAACGACCGTTAACGTCGTTCTTCGTTTACGATGGTTAACGACTTTCTTTAGACAAAATACATTTTTTTGGTTGGAAAACCCTTAGATCAGAAAACTTTTAGGCTATTTCTTTCGATAAAAAAGGCCATTTAGAACAACATGCAGAAACATATCTTTCTGAAACAATTGAAATTAATTGTCATAAAACTAAGATTCATTAGTAAACAAAAGTAAAAAAAAGTTTGTTTTTTTTAAGTTAAAAGCGAGTGATTCGTTTGTTGTGAGCTTTTAACCATAGTTTAAAAAAACGATCGTTTAAAAAAACCGATTAACAATCCGTGGCGGTATATACTTGTTGGTAACATATCTTTAGGAATGAGATATACATAATGAGATATACAGCTTAAGAATTAAGATTAAACTTTTTAACCCCGAATATGCAATCTGACCATTTTGAGTAGTAGTTCATGCAGAAGAATGTGCAAGTCGTTTTTGCAGAGAACCCGGACAGTTAAAAATAATTAGTTTTCAAAATTATAAACATTGACATCTATTTTTAATAACAGACAAAACTTTTAGGGGCATCGTAGTGAATTTGCTATTTGCATTGGTCAAAACTGTAAATTTGCCGATTAATTGCTCCCAAAATTGCTGAATAAAGACTAGAGAGAAGTTGTTAATTGAATTCCGTCCAGGCCCGTAACGAGGCGTTTCTGTGGGAGTGAAGTGACACCAAGTGAAAAGCATTTTTTTCTAGTCATTAAATTAGTCATTTTATCTTGATTATGATGATTTTTTACATTTTACACGGCTTAAATCGTTTAACTTTTGACAACAAAGATGTAATTCAACACATTTCTTAAACTAATTATTTTCACTGCAATTTGACGTTTTTATGTTAAAGAACATTTCATAATTTATGTATCTGATTATACAGTACATGATATGTTTGATGTTTTTAAGCATAGTTATTCTAGCTTAAATATCATGATATAAATACCTTACCAAGAAATTTGTATGTCAAAACTATTTATAATATATATAGCTTGATTTTTTAGTCTTTCTAGTAAACAAAAAAATTACCAATATCTTTACATTACAACCTTTCTGACTTAACGATCTTTGAAAAATCTATCAATTGCTTGAGTTTGCGATCCTATTGGATCACAAGTACATGCGATCGTCCGATTGACCCCCCCCCCCCCATATACCGATTTCTGGTCAACCTTGTATAAAGAAATGTATCTATGGTTAATGGACCGTATATACTAGACAACATTCATCATAAAACGTGTCCAGACACATAAGAACAGTAAAATTATCGCAGAAGCGTCTTTATCTCTACCCCCCCCCCCTCTGTTTAAAAACAAAGAGAATGTCTTGCACTATCAACATACTTAAACAGGAAAACTGATACTTACAAACCAACTTTGGTTCCAGTCCTTTACATGTTTGAAGGTAAAACTATTGAATTCTAAATCCGTTAAAACGAGGCAATTAGTCTGATCCCCTCACACTAAAAGCTATCCATATATCTTTGCGACCCAATTTTGTAGACCTTAGATATTTCAAACTGTGAATTCTGGGAAAAGAATTAGTCTTAAGTTTAAAACATCAAAGGTGTTTTCATCATCAGATTGCAGAGGTAGGAATTAGGATTATTTGAGTTTGTGGCAAGAACTCAATTCCTTTCAGTGCAGTCGTCTGATTTACCCCCTCCGATTTATTCACTTGGTAAAAAATTATCTGGTCTAGCAGATTTATAATGGAACTGAGTTTTTGCCACAAACTCAAATATTCTTATCCCTATATCTTGGCCACCCAATGTCGTAGACCTTAGATATTTCAAACTATTAATTCTGTAAGATCAAATAACCTAAGTTTGAAATATCAAAGGTTTATACCCACTGGTTGCAGAGATATAGAAATTAGAAAATTTGAGGTTGCGGCAAAAACTCAATTCCTTTGAAAAGATAAAAGATATAGAATTAGAAAATCTAATTTGTGACAGAAGACTCCATTCGCAGAGAAATTAGCAGTAAAATAATTACAATAAAAATTTTAATACACTTTTTGTACAAAAGTCAATTTTTGCTGGTCAAATTATTTTCTCTTTTAAAAATAAAATGGTAAAATATCTACTTATTTATATTTATTTACGAGGTTTGTTGTTTCCTTATTGTTAAAAGTCTGGTTCTTTGCAATATACTAATTTATAGATGCATGCTTCCGGGAAAAGTTTTGAATTTTTAATAACTTAAAGTGAAGCGGAGAGGGGGAAATTCAGATAATCTAATCATTATATAAACTACACATAAAATATAAAATGATATTTATGACATGAGATAAATATGAGATATCTAGGAAATAGTATTTATGACATCAAATATATAAAATATCCAGTTACAGATACAATAGACTCAGGGTCAGTAAAAGTTTATTATTTCTGACCAATGAGAAAACTAAGAAAAATATTTTGACAACTTTTAAAATTAAGGACAGGATATAAATTTTTCAATATCATATGATAATGTTCTAGAAATATTAAATCGAGTTCAGTTGTACTTTTTAGTAAAATCATTCTTTTTTCATAAAAAAATTACAAATTGTTAAAAAAAATTAACGCTAAACTTAGATTTTTTAACTTTAAATTTTTTTACATCGTCAGTACAGTCTCATTCATATTGGGTAGTCCTGTATATATGCTAAGAATGGACCGCATAGAGAGATGGAATTTAAAGTGACCTCTTATTCTTAGTGTGGAATTTCCATGAATAAAATCTAGATCTGAGTAACAATGAGGAAGATGTAAAAATAAGGATATTTATGTGATTGACATGCCAGTTGCCAGGATATAATAAAAGACAGCTCACTATATATTACGTTATTTGTCCAATGCAGGATTAGACACAAGTTTTAAAGAAAATTTTTATTTAAAATTATTAAACATAAAAATAACTTTTACATAAATCTCTTCTTAATATTTCAATACATTTTTTCCCAGTTGATCAGACCATCTGGAGACTCTCCTTTCGCCATCTTGTTTAGGTTGGTTAGAAAACAGTCAACTATCTCAAGAGCACGAGAACTACCAGCTACATGAGGAGTAACTATATAAACAGATTGTACATAAAACAGTCAACTATCTCAAGAGTATGGGAACTACCAGCGACATGAGGAGTAACTATATAAACAGATTGTACATAAAACTGTCAACTATCTTTAGAGCACGAGAACTACCAGCGACATTAGGAGTAACTATATAAACAGATTGTACATAAAACAGTCAACTATCTCAAGAGTCCGGGAGCTACCAACTACATGAGGAGTAACTATATAAACAGATTGTACATAAAACAGTCAACTATCTCAAGAGAACGAGAACTACCAGCGACATGAGGAGTAACTCTATAAACAGATTGTACATGAAACTGTCAACTATCTTTAGAGCACGAGAACTACCAGCGACATGAGGAGTAACTATATAAACAGATTGTACATAAAACAGTCAACTATCTCAAGAGTACGGGAACTACCAGCGACATGAGGAGTAACTATATAAACAGATTGTACATAAAACTGTCAACTATCTTTAGAGCACGAGAACTACCAGCGACATGAGGAGTAACTCTATAAACAGATTGTACATGAAACAGTCAACTATCCCATGAGTATGAGAACTACCAGCTACATGAGGATTAACTATATAAACAGAGTGTACATCAAACAGTCAACTATCTCAAGAGAACGAGAACTACCAGCGACATGAGGAGTAACTATATAACAGATTGTACATAAAACAGCCAACTATCTCAAGGGTGCGGGAACTACCAGCTACATGAGGAGTAACTATATATAAACAGATTGTACATAAAACAGTCAACTATCACAAGAGTACGGGAACTACCAGCGACATGAGGAGTAACTATATAAACAGATTGTACATAAAACAGCCAACTATCTCAAGAGTACGGGAACTACCAGCGATCGTAAAATGAGAAGTAATTGAAAAAAAAGATTGTACATAAAATCCCATATCTATATAACTGGAGTGCGGTAAATAAAAAAAATGAAGTGTACATATCATATTAGGGCTAAGGAAAGGAGTTTTTGCCACAAACTCTAATTTTTTAATCCATATATCTTCGCAAGCCGATGTAGTAGATATTTGATATTTCAAGCTTTAAATTCTGATCAAATAATCTTAGTTTAAAATATCAAAGGTTTACATCATCAGATTGCAAAAATATTGGCATTAGAAAAGTTTCGTATGTGGCAAAAACTAAGTTTCTTTATAAGCCAGCCAGGGATAGCTCTTTAAATCCTCGACCTAACCTGTAAAAACTAAATGTCGAAATAAAATATTAATATTAATATTAATATTAATATTATTATTATTATTCTTATTTTTATTATATTCTAACACTAAATGGTTTATAATAAATCAAGGATCGAGTGAATTAGAAAAAATGAAAATGAATTAAAATAGGTTAGTCATTAACCCGTGGAGTAAGAAAATAAAGAATCACAACGACCTATTGATACTTCTAACATAAATATGGCATTTTTAATATCTAAAGAAAAAGTGAGGGAGAACTATTGTTTAAGAGTATACCAGAAACGTCATAAAGGAATTGAGTTTTTGCCACAAACTCAAAAAGTCTAATCCCTATATTTCTCCTATCTAAAGATGTTAACCTTTGATATTTCAAACAATGATTATTTGATCTAACATAATTCATAGTTTGAAATATCAAAGGTCTACAGCATCGGGTTCCAAAGATAAGGTGATTAGAAACTAAAAGTTTGTGGCAAAAACTCAATTCCTTTATAAAAAATCTAGAATTTGAAAAAAATTTCCAGATTTTCTACACTAAAGAAAATTATTTTAAGTGGCCAAAAAGACCATAACAATTTTTAGCAAAATCGGGGTCACAAAGTATGGTGATTTCGCATGGAAACACCCAAATGCTATTTGTTTGTCTCACTTAAAACTGACCTGCTACTCTAGAATGAGTCCAGAGCTTGAAAATGACCTGCTACTCTAGGATTAGCCCAGAGCTAGAAACTGACCTGCTACTCTAGGATAAGTCCAGAGCTTGAAACTGACCGGCTACTCTAGGATGAGTCCAGAGCATGAAACTGACCTGCTACTCTAGGATGAGTCCAGAGCTTGAAACTGACCTGCTACTCTAAGATGAGTCCAGAGCTTGAAACTGACCTATAACTCTAGGATGAGTTCAGAGCTTGAAACTGACCTATAGCTCTTGGATGAGCCCAGAGCTTGAAACTGACCTGCTACTCTAGGATGAGTCCAGAGCTTGAAACTGACCTATAACTCAAATATGAGTCCAGAGCTTGAAACTGACCTGCTACTCTAGGATGAGCCCAGAGCTTGAAACTGACCTATAACTCTAGGATGAGTTCAGAGCTTGAAACTGACCTATAACTCTAGGAAGAGTCAAGAGAATGAAACTAATCTGTAACTCTAGGATAAATGAGCAACTGACCTATAAATCTAGGATGAGTTCAGAGCATGAAACTGACCTATAACTCTAGGACGAGTCCAAAGAATGAAACTAACCTGTAACTCTGGGTTAAATGAGCAACTGACCTATAACTCTAGGGTGAGTCCAGAGCATGAAACTAACCTGTAATTCTAGGATAAATGAACTTGAAACTAACCTGTAACTCTAGGATAAATGAGCTTGAAACTGACCTGTAACTCTAGGGTGAGTCCAGAATCCTGAATCCAACGGAAGAGGTTCTACCGAGAAGACATCAAGATAGGCTTCCTTTAACCATCCGTTATTCAGAGCACTAACAAAATAAAAATATAAAAATCTATAACATCGAAACGCAATGTGTAGGAGGGATAGTCCACATAGAACATAGTAAACTATAACGTTCTAGTTGGAATTTCTAGCTATTATACTAGTTTCTTCGTAAGCAACATTTAGTTTGCAAGACTTTAGTTTAGAAGAAAATTTTTATTTTCTAAGAAACTAGTTTTCGAGTTGTCCGACTGTAAATATCATAGTAAACCTCCTGCACTGTCCCTATCCCTATTCTATTTCTTTAATACTTTAATTTGATTTGCATATTACAACAACGTGTAGTAGAACTTAACATTTCTGTCGTTAAAACTTGGCCCTTGACTTTATGGGGGTCACTTTTGCGAATTATAAAAAAGAGGAGTGCGAAGCATCCTAAATAACCTGACCTGATGATATCTTGGTCCGTGCACACATTTCCTCTCCCAATATTGATAAATCCTGAACCCTGGCATGCACTCAAAACATCACTTTACAACAACAAACTAGTTAAAAACCACCAAAAATTCCTATTTACATTGTGATAAAATAAAAGAAAGGAACATATTATAAAAAGCAGGGAAAGATGTAACGGGATAAAATAGGATAATACGGGATAAGAAGACTGGGGAGCTGATACGACATGATATGACAGGTAAGGACCGGACATGATAGGACAATATAAAACAGGATAAAACAGGACAGGTCAGGACAGGACAGGACTGGATAAGATAGGACAGTAGAGAACAGGAAAGGAAAGGGTAGGACAGTAGAGGACAGGAAAGGAAAGGATAGGAAAGGACAGGTTTGAACTGAAAGGCTGAAAAATTAGGATTTCTATATATTCTGTATAATGTTTGAACCGAAAGGCTGAAAAATTATGATTTCTATATATTCTGTATATAATGTTTGAACCGAAATGCTGAAAAAGAAAAGAGTTACTTTGAAAGAATGTTGTTGGTTTGAGGAGTAGAAGGTAGGACGTTGATTATATAATCTGCAGACCTAAGCAGTTCCTTTACCTCACTCAGGCAGTAATACTTGGATACTAAAATATATTACATTAAACAAAAACATAAATATTCTCATCTAAAAAAAATATTTTCCTACGTTAATTACTCCAAATGTGAAAAAAATTAAAGTATATGTATGATAACATTATAACTTATAAATGACTGAAACTGAATAACTGAAAGATTTAAATGGCATTTTTTAATACTATCAAAATCTACCAAAGAAAAGAAAAGAGAAAAATCCAAAAGATGATTCAGCCAATCCTATATATGCCAATGACTCAAATTCAATCCTATATATGTCAATGACTCAAATTCAATCCTATATATGTCAATCACTCAAATTCAATCCTATATATGTCAATGACTAAATTCAATCCTATATATGTAAATTACTCAAATTCAATCCAATATATGCCAATGACTCAAATTTAATCCTATATATGTAAATTACTCAAATTCAATCCTATATATGCCAATGACTCAAATTCAATCCTATATATGATAATGATCTGGCAACCTGGGAGAGTTGACAAGGCCAATGATTTGACAGCCAAATCCTATATTATATAAAAAACAACTAAACCCAGTAAAAAGAAATTTAATAATAACCTGTACAATTTCCTTTCTCATGAATATAAAAATATGTAAGAATGAAGGTTTGATTTTTTAGAAACATCATATAAAATAAATTCAAAGTTTTAATTATTTTCATATTATTGAAAACATGAACAATTCTAGATTTTCATGTCAAAAATAGGCGTGAAGCGCTAAGAATTGAGAAAGTCATAGAAATAAAAGTAGTTTAGCTCAGGAACTCCCTATTTCTTCTACTCCAAGAATAACAATATCCAGGTTTACCATGGAGTAGTTTAGCACAAGAACTCCCTATTTCACCTACTCCAAGAATACCAATAGTTAACTCATTCAGGCTTCGGTAATTGTTTAATCTAAAATCCATTTTATTAAAAAAAATTTTTAATAAAAATTAGTATTTTTTCTTATTTAATTTAATTTCTAACCTATCTCCAGCCCATATTTTCTGTCTCTGAAGTTCATGGCACTAAAATATCCAATTTAATTATTTTATGAAAGTTAATGTATAATATTGTGAAACATGGTCTCGGTCTCTAAGATGGAGATACATCAAATTACACTTGAAACACGTTACCCGTACTCCCCGTACTAAGATTTTAAAGACGTGCCTAAAAATGTTAACGATTTACAGCATTACTTACCAAGGATAAGACTTTAATAACAACCTTAACCCTAAACAGGCAGGGGGGGCGTTTGGCGCCCCCCTGTAGTTGTTTTTTGTCCTAGCACTCTCAATTTTAACTACATCGCCGTGAAGTTTCGTGAATTTTAATAAATAGTATAATTAAAAGGATTTTTTGTTAAAAAAATATTTTTTTTATAATTTTTAGGGTAGGGTACAGGGCGGAAAAAAAGTCCGGTCTGTGAAAAAAATCTAAAATAGCCTATAACTTTTTTTTGACTAAAGCTATAGATCTAAAAACTATATTTTTGAAATGCATGTAGAAACATGTGTCACACTTTGATATTTGTTTAAAACAAATTTTTTTCTTTCATTTTTTTGACATATTTTAGGCATTTTTTCAACCCTCCCTAGCCAACCCAAACCAATAAAGCTATCGATCTAATTTTTTTTCAATGAACTGGCCTAGAAAAATTGGGCTATGAAAATGCATTTCGACCCTATAACTATTCTCTGAGGCCTTTTTATAGGGGGGGGGGGGTGCCAAACGCCCCCTGGGCTATACATAGATTCAGACCCCTTCAGATTTTATAGGGTTAAACTTTTTTAAACTAAATATCTAAAGGTGGAATTAAACATTGTCGAGTCTATGAAAATTAGATATTTGACAAAGAAAAGTCAAGATAATGCTTCACGGATCACTGAATATCAGGAAAACCTCTGAAGTGTTATCATTTGTGATTAACCTTGTATTTATTATCAGATTTTATTATAACAAATACAAGATTAGTTTTGTATGAATGCTGATAAAATTATCCATAGTGAGGTGGCTTTTCCGGTTGATTTAAAATATTGAAAAATTAGCATTTTGACCATATTTTTTTATTAAGACGACATTGGACACCTGTAAAACTTCTTATAGTGGAATAAATTGGAAAATATTTGAGATTTTACACTATATTGGGTCATTAACTTGACGTAAACTTTGATCCATTCATCCTAAACTTTCAATCTTTAAATAAACACAACTTTCCTTGTTTCTAAAGAGATTATTAACCTATTTTTAAATATGCCAATTCGTGAATTAAAAAGATACTGAGGAACGGCAGAGTCTTTGCCGCAAACTCTGATTTTTAAATCATTTTTCGTCTGCAACTCGATGTCATACACCTTTAATATTTCAAACTATAAATTGTGTTAGATGAAATAGTCTAAGTTTGAAATATCAAAGGTTTACTCTATCAGGTTGCAAAGATATAGGGATTAGAAAATTCAAGTTTGTGGAAAAACGCAGTTCCTTTGATTGTAAAAAACACCAATTAGTTTAAAAGATACTTATTTACCTATTTTTTAGTCTTGCATTGTCTTTCTTGCTTTACAGAACAAATATCAAAAACAAAATATCAAAATTATTTTTGATGATTTATGATTTGAAAGTTATTCTTTACCTAGTTTCATTATAAGATAATAAAGCTTTAAAAAAAATAACTGATTTCATCGTATAAAACAAAGCAATAACCATTGATTTTAATCAGTATAAAAGGTTGTCTCTAACCTGTTTAAACCCCCTCTCTATGTTAATAACAGCAGAAACACAGTACTCAGCCATAAGCTGACTAAACAAAAAGTATAGTAATGTTGGAAAACCCTGAAATTCTTACATCTCCCACAAATAGGATAATATCAACCAGCTTACTAAACTTTATTCTTACATCTCCCACAAATAGGATAATATCAACCAGCGTATTAAAGTTTATTCTTACATCTCCCACAAATAGGATAATAGCAACCAGCGTATTAAACTTTATTCTTACATCTCCCACAAATAGGATAATAGCAACCAGCGTATTAAAGTTTATTCTTACATCTCCCACAAATAGGATAATATCAACCAGCTTATTAAACTTTATTCTTACATCTCCCACAAATAGGATAATATCAACCAGCGTATTAAACTTTATTCTTACATCTCCCACAAATAGGATAATAGCAACCAGCGTATTAAACTTTATTCTTACATCTCCCACAAATAGGATAATATCAACCAGCTTATTAAAGTTTATTTCCAAAAATCCTTCACTTTTGAAATGAACTAATAGATATTTTTCTATCTTAAGCAACCTGACGGCGTAGACCGTTGATATTACAAGCTATAAATTCTGGTGGATTTTATGGTTAAAATGGTTAAAATTACAAAGATGTAGGTTTAACTTCGGAAAGCCTCGAACAATCAGCCTCACATTTTGATGAATAGGGAGCTCGGTACAACCATGGATATGTTTGTGTGATTTAAAAATTCTAAGTTTAAAGGGTTGACGTTTATTGGGAAAAATCCATGAAAAGCTGGGTTTCATATTTTTTCATATTCATATTTTTATTCAACTACAAAGCACGAGACAATACAAATAAAAAATCACAATTAATTTAATATGTAGTTTGGATCCGCCTAACCAGAGTAGGTTGTTTTAATTGGTTGGCCCATTATTAGAGAATGAGAATTTTAAATAAATACAAGGGTTTACACTGTACACTGTACAGTATACATTTTAACATAACAATGATGATAAATCAAGAAAAAGGTAAGGAGGTAGTGAAGAAGTATAAGGGAAAGGAAGGGTACTCAGCGGTAGGGTTGCAACAGAGGGAAACATATTACTAGAATCATGTTTATGAACTACAGGGTGAAGAAGATAATAAAGACTAAGTTTATCCACATGAAACTAGGTTTTTTGTTGTTGTTTTACAGAAATAACTGGCATAACTTTTTAAATAGTTCTTGGCGACTTAATCTACAATATACATCGTACATATGGGTGGATCAAAAGGTCGTGACGGATAAAATTTTGGCTTCGTCTCCACGTCTCAGAAAGTGACTTTTTACATATGAAAATTTTATCATTTTCTTTATTGTTTACTAAATAAAATGTTCGCATAGAAAATATGTACAGTTAAAACGGTCCAGTAAATATATTGTACATCCACGCATCCCACGCGTAGATTTAATGTCTGAGTTCATATTTGAGCAGGACGGATCTCGTCTTCATACTACACTCATGACTCAGAGACTACTTAGAGATGTCCATCGGTTTAAGGCCCAGTTGTAAAAAAGTTTTCAGACTTTTTAAACATTTAAATTTGTTTTAAAGAATCTAAGATCAAAATCCTATTTCAAAATGCGTGCAAGACAAGTTTGCCATTATTACGCAAAGCAAAATTTTTACATTGAATAAAGATATTGACCAAAACGATTTTTCAAAACGGAAAAAGGAAAACGATTTTACTCATCGTCCAAAACCCAATCTCTGAAAAGAACCCTTTTCCTGTTTTAAATAATTCAAATAATTCTTTACGAGGACAATCTTTTTGGTCCACCCTTTATATATCTAAAAGTGTTTAAAAGTTTTGAATTGTATTGTACAGGATTGTTCAAGAATCTATAGAGAAGTGAGAGAAGTGAGAGAAGTGAGAGAAGCTCTTCAACTCTTCTCTTCTCAACTTATTTAGAAAATTTTATCATTTTCTTTAGTTTGAGTTTCTGGAGACATTTTCAATATGAGACCGGATCAAATCTTCAAATATACCAAAGATGTGTAAATACTTTTCTGTAGAATGTATTTGAATTTAACCAACATTGTATACCCTATAGATATCCCCAATAGAAAATATTAATTTACTCAATTGTCCCTTGGGACAATTAAGTTATAGTATAACATCCCGCTCTGAGAAATTTTCATGAAACATCTCAAAAGATGATAAAAGTGTTAATAACTAGAAACTACGGATTCCCTCGACCAATTCTGTCCACAAAACATCCCTCGCTACCTACTCTATTTGCTTTTTTAGACAAAAATGGTTGAAGGAACCCTTGGCAAAGTAAAATTCCTTTAACTTCCCAGTGCATGAAGTATTTGTAAAGAATTAATTGAGATGGAATGTGATCTGAAACTTTAAGACGAAACTAAACAGGAAACTGATAATTTTTCTCAAACTCTAATTTTCTAATACCTTTATCTTTGCAACTGATGATGCAATCGTTAGATTTTTAACTTCAACTATCAGAGTCCGAATTTAATGAATTTGAGCCGCGTCTCAAATTCACCAAAAACCTGTTTCAATTGAGCGCTGGCTTAAATCTTGAAACAATTTTAAGTGGAACCAACCATATTTGAGCCGCGTCTCAAATGTAGGCTGCGTCTCCAAATGAAGCCGCGGCTCAAATTCTTTAAGTTCGACCTCTGAATGAATAGTTTAAAATATCAAAGGTCTTCAACATCAGGTATCACTAGGTATAAAAAAGGAGGTGTATAAAGAAAAAAGAAAATATCTAAAAAATTAAATTTTTAAGCAATGTCACACCTGAAGGTCGGATGGGTCAGTCTGGAAACTTTTATCACAGGAAGTTTGTCTGCAGCAGCTTTTTAAAAGAAAATGATACTTTTTTCAATTTTTAAAATATGTATTATTTCAATTACCCATGTTTACTTATATATATTAAATACTAAAATGAAATCAATGAAAGATAAAAGGTGAGCTTGTAGGAAACTCAAATTTCTTGAAAACATCACGTGACTATCTATCAATCTTAACCTAACCTGGAATAGAATAATCACGCGAGGTTGTTAACTCGTTAAGAACGTAGCAATACTAATCCATAAAAGTCTTACTTACCAACGAGTTTAACAAGGTAGTCTGCTCCTGCCCATGTACCTTGAACCCACTTAAGCCTATCAGGATTCTCAAACAGTATCGGAGCTTTCAAACAAATATATTAAGAAAATGCTCGTTTCTAAACTACAGGAGGTTCCAATAAACATGGGAGTTAAGAGACGACTTCTTTTTTGTCTCTGTATCACGCAGAATTACTTCGTGATCAAAATTAAAGTGATAGCTGCATGAGCATAAAACATTTAACAGCTAAAACTAAGTCTGTCTCGGGAATTCCAAAATGTGGTCTACAATGTTTGTCACTTCAGTGGACAGTTATGTTTGAACTATCGGACTATCGGAAATCAATCTGCAGCTTCTCCACTCAAACTTAAAATTAATTTCGAATTCTTGGGGTTCATTATTCTTCTCCAATCCTTTTTTAATTATAGATGTTATGCTTTAAAACCATAATAAAAGAACCGAGGAAATACATGCAATATCCCCTTAAGATACAGGCTTTATGACCATAAGTATATGACTTCAGAGAGGACTGTACGGAATTTATATTGTCTGTTTTCTTGTATTCATGAAGTCGTGATATTTTTAGAGCTTCAAGTAGGGTTTCCATTGAAAAAAAATTTGCACAATTTTAGGCAAAACGAAATGCAAAATATCTCTTGCCTTGCGTACCACTTTTGCTCGAAAAACCAGTAATTTGCGTAATTATTCGCAAATGTCATTTCGGGCAATATTGCACTATTCCGCTTGTTTCCAAGTCTGTTTTTGCGCAATTTCACTTCTTCCCCTTAGGAAAAAGGTCTTGATTAAGATTTTTGAAGTAAAATTTTTGGGCGAGGGGGGTCGAGAAGTTTCATATATTCTATTTTTTTAATTAAGTTAATTGAAATGTCAATTATTTTGAATGATAAACTATTAAAAAAAATTGAATTACTTTTTGAAACTTTGAACTGATGTTTTTATAATCAACTAGCTTAAGGGCCTGGCGTTGCCCGTGGGAATTTTTTTTTTATTTTGAAAAAAAATTTTGAGTTGATTTTAGCCTATAACCCCGGCGACTCATGAGTGTCGACAAACAATTCTAGCCCAATCGGTCCAGCCGTTTGGCCGGCTATAGGCAACATATGTATGAACCTCTTGTTTTATAATAAAGAAGAAGATTGAAGGGACTGTCAGGACTGTATGGGTAATTTTAAGTGACCCACCATGCAAAGATGGCGATGACTGATTCACTGATAACAAAACCATTGAGACTTTAATCTGATCAAAAATGTGGAAGATTACGTCGTTTCCTGTTTCGAAAAGTGTTTAATTCTGTTAAATTCTCCAGATTGCTTCTTTTTAGCAAGAAATGCACTGGTTACTTTTGCAGAGAACCCGCAAAAGAAAATAACTAGTTTAAAGAAACAAAACATGAATATGTAAGTCTTACTTGATCAGACAAAGCTTTAAAGGCTACTGTCAGTTTAATCGGATTTTAACTATCACTCGGTCTCTAATTTGGACCCTAATTTGAAGTTTTTGTAGTTTTGAAGTAACCAATTGAAGAAGCATAAAGATAATATTTTGTTGTATGTAAACTTTTTGAATAAACCTTCAGTTGTTTGATTCTGTGGCGAAACTATTATTTTTGGTCAGTTTGCTTAAAATATCATGTTGCGATTTTGCGCAAATCATAAAATATGGTCATTTCGTGGAAACCCCAGCTTCAAGTTCTAATATTTACAGTCTCATCTGTTGTGCGTACAGAGCAGAGAATTTTTGACTGGATAGAGCTGGTATGAATCGATCGACTGAAATGAGTTTTCTCATTCTGTCATCGCTTGGAGTTAAACTACAAAACAAACTATGTTTTATTAGTTAAGGTTTCATGGATTTACCAATAAAAATACATTCAAAAGCTTCAGTTGGCTGTTGGAGTTTAAGTGATGAAACTTAAACTCCATAACATTTAAATTTTCCAGCTCGACAGTTGATTTATAAAAGTTTTTTGGGGGACGCCCCCCAGCCTTTTTTTGGTAAATTTAAGCTTGGAATCTTGATATTTAAGAGTTTCAAGTCGTCTTTACAGTCTCATCCTTTGTGGGTAAACCTGCATTTCTTAAATATTATTTAATATATTTAATTTCCTAAATGGTTGAAGTCTGCAATTAGATAATCTGTCTGCTGAAGAACTATAGGTAGAAGGGGAGGATCAACATGCACAACTTCAAGCTGGGGACAAACAACCTCAACAACAATTTACGTTTAGGAAGCACTTTATCTGCATGTCAACTGTCAAGAGACGGTGGAAAATGACTCGGAACTTTCGAAGTAAAATATTTTTTGATTTTCATCTCCTGATTTTCTGATTTTACTGACGGATATATTTAATCAAATTTAATGAAATTTAATTCAATAAAAAAGGGTGAATAGCGAGATCTTGCATACAATACAGCATTTTTTTTGTTATCTCATTTTGAACAAATTTATGCATGAAATTTTTGGTTTTTTTTGTAAAGGCAATTAGTTGAGTAGAAAAACAGAAGTGCGGGAATCTATTATTTATTTCTATCACACCTTCAAATCTTGAATAAACAGATCATCAGATGAGTATCAATCAATCAATCAATCAGATGATTTTGGAGAAAATGCGCGAAATAAAATTAAGAAAATCTGCAATTTTAGTGTTGAAATAATCAATAGAAGCCAAGTTCTGTCTGCAATGGCTCCTCAATTTTCAACAAAACAGAGAATATTTATTACTTTGGAATACAGTAAGAAAATGGGGACGTAAAGATTTTTTCAAAAATATAATTGAGGATTTTCTGAATTTAATTAAACACATTTTATTCGAAACTATTCATCTGATCTGCAGTTTAAGATTTCAAGGTGTAATAGAAATAATATGTTCCCGCTTTTTTTGTTTTTCTAGTGCATAGTATTGCAAGATCTCGCTATTTTCCCTTTAGAAATAATGGCGCTGCCAAGGTTACTAAAAGTTACACCCGCCATTTACCCGCACTTGGGTCTAATGAGTTCCCATATCAAAATTTTAGACAAATCAGTCCAGGGGTTCCCTAGTTATGATCGGACAAAAATGAAACAAACAGACAGAAAAACAGCAAAATATATAATATGATAAACAATAAATATGATTTTCTCGCAATTAGAGAATCGTACCACGGGACCCACCGTGATTCAAATGTCCTAGGACATAGACTATCACAAAGTGATCACTTTACTTTTGAACTTTTAGGTAAATTATCCAACTCAAATCCTGTAGTTTTCAGCTTTCATCATTAAAATTCATTGGCAGCTGATAGCAGTTTGATATCTAATGTTATTCTTATAAAATGCTTTTTACCTTGACTCTTGATTCTATTTCTTTTAGCTGTGAACAAATTGTTAAAATTTTCCTTCCGGTGGACATTTTAGTTCTAAACTCAAGTAAAAATGTGAAGATTAACTTTGCTATTATTATTTCATGCAGACATATATATGTTATTTGTAGGTTTATGGCATAATTAAATTGTTTAATGTTTATTTACGTATTTAATTTTAAGATTATCTTTGCAGACAGAAATGAGAGTACATTTATATTAGTACACAATGACCCCAAACTAGTTCTTTAATTTAAAGAGTATACCGAGTTTACCTTATTGCAGCTTTGTTATGTAAGTTATCCGATACCATGATGATATTTAAAAATTTTTTAAATTATCATCATTTTCTTTAAAAACTTTCACAAGAATGAAAGATACAAAACAGTATTAAAGGCTATGAATGTCGTCTTATTTCTTCAAATATTTGAGTGTTAGTACCTTGCGTTTGTCTGTGAAATCAGCTGATTGAAAGAATAAGAAACTTAAAAGAAAGAATCTCAATCAACCCAACCAACTCAACCGTCATCAGTTATCACTCGTGTTTTGACTTTTGCGCAGCACACTTGTACTATAGTGCCAAGGAAGGCCGAGGGATTTAGGCCTTGGAGCATTGTAGTACAGAGCGTCCCATATCATATTAGATTGCCTCCAATCTTAAACACCAAAATAAACCCTTAATACTCGAAAAACTTATCATTTTCCGCAGAAAAAGTCTTATATAAGCCTTATGTTATTTTTCAAAATGATTCGTTCTAATGAAATTTTCTAATTAGTCCCGAAAATCGTAATTTAGACCCGTTCTCGGTCTAATATGATGTGGGACACCCTGTATGTTCGTATCAATCCTTTAATTAATTGTTGTTAAAGCAGCACAAAATGTCTTTGATAAATATCATCCTTACAGCTGTACGTGACCCTAATCAATTCATGCAGTTTGGATCCATGGTTTCAAAAATAAGAAACTAAACGTAGCAATTGAAAAATTGACAAAGTGAGTACTTAGAATATTATAACTTGACAATTCATGACATGTGTCATACCAATTATCACCACTTAAACTGAACAAAAGAGAGCTTCATTGCTTTATTTCTAAAGCCTCAAAAATCTTAAACATTACTGAAACCAGGCCCTAGCTAGGAATTTATTAAAATGGCAGGACAAGGGGAATTTTGTGATTATTATCTCTAGAAATTTACTTCTAAAATTAGGTTGACAAATAAACGCAGCAAATTATATCAAAAATCAAGACGACATTCAAGTCGTCCTGCATACTGTCATGTTTCGTGGGACACCCTGTATATTAACATATACAAGGGTTAAAAACACAATGATGAATTCTAAGATTATACAGCGCCGGGAAACCCGAAGAGCTCATTATCTGGCTGTCTGGTCCATGTCCCCGAAAACTTTAGATCTATGCGGCGTATGATACGTAAAGAGTAAAAAAAAAGAGAAGTGAATACTTAGGTATAGTATAGGTACAGAACTGATAGATGAAAGTGGCAAGGTAAACTACCGGGACTGGTTATTGAAAGGGACAGGGTATTGGACCAGGACTGATTAATGACAGAAACAGGGTATAATACCAGGACTGATAAATGAAAGTGGCATGGTAAATCACCAGGACTGGTTATTGAAAGGGACAGGGCATTGGACCAGGACTGATTGGTGTAAGGGACAAGGTATAACACCAGGACTGATTAATGACAGGAAAAAGGTATAATACCAGGACTGATTAATGAAAGGGACAAGGTATAACACCAGGACAGATAAATGACAGGAACAGGGTATAATACCAGGACTGATAAATGAAAGTGGCATGATATAGGACCAGGAATGATTAATGAAAGGGACAAGGTATAACACCAGGACTGATAAATGACAGGAACAGGGTATGATACCAGGATTGATAAATGAAAGTGGCATGGTAAACTACCAGGACTGATTAATGAAAGGGACAGGGTATAGGACCAGGACTCATTAATGAAAGGGAGATGGTATAGGACCAGAACTGATAAATGAAAGGTATAATACCAGGACTGATTACTGAAAAGGACAGGGTATGGGACCAGGTCTGATTAATGAAAGGGACGGGGTATAGGACTAGGTCTGATTAATGAATGGAACGTGGTATAGGAACAGGACTCATTAATGAAAGGGACATGGTATAGGACCAGAACTGATAAATGAAAGGTATAATGCCAGGACTAATTACTGTAAGGGAAAGGGTATGGGACCAGGTCTGATTAATGAAAGGGACAGGGTATAGGACTAGGTCTGATTAATGAAAGGGAGATGGTATAGTAGCAGAACTGATAAATGAAAGGTATAATACCAGGACTGATTACTGAAAGGGACAGGATATGGGACCAGGTCTTGAAAGGGACAGGGTATGGGACCAGGTCTGATAAATGAAAGGGACAGGGTATGGGACCAGGTCTGATTAATGAAAATCACAGGGTATGGGACCAGGTCTGATTAATGTAAGGGACAGGGTATGGGACCAGGTCTGATAAATGAAAGGGACAGGGTATAGGACTAGGTCTAAATAATAAAAGGGACAGGGTATATAGGACCAGGACTCATTAATGAAAGGGAAAGGGTATAGGACTAGGTCTAATTAATGAAAGGAACAGGGTATAGGACCAGAACTAATAAATGAAAGGTATAATAACAGGACTGATAACTGAAGGGGACATGGTACGGGACCAGGTCTGATAGGACTTTTTATTCATCGAAAGGACGAAGAGATTAACAATAATTTAGGACAATATAACTCTTACCTTTAATTTTATATTCATTCATTTTTTTTCAAATATATTACTTAGAAATTTTTTATTAAAAAATATATTTTTAGTGCTAACCCAATATTTTTAATGCAATTCAGTGTTTGTAATAATATATGTTTATGTTAAATAATAATGAATCTGTTTAAATTTTTTGCCACCTTGCATGAAACACTTGAATTCTAGATTGTAATATTAGAAATATTTAACCAGTGCTTAGGATCCATTTAATTTTTATTCGGATCCGGATCTAAATCCGGGATTCGCCCTGAAAAAAATGGATTCGGATCGGATCCAGGTCAGGTCCATTTCTTCTAGATTGACTGAAAAAAATCTCTTTTATGTTGAAACCTAATAAACCTTGAAGGTTTCAAGAAGTTTTCAATAATCGCTCATCAGTGAACATATGAGATTTTTGTTTTTAAAGCAAAAAGTAAATTTTAGTAAGTTTTGGTTGCCCCTTGGATCCGGATGCGCGGATCAGCATTATTTTGCAGATCCGGATCCGGGAAGCCAAAATGTTGCGAATTCAACGAATCCTAGCACTGTATTGAACAAGAATATGGGAAATCTAAAGGAGGAGGGTAATAAGGCAAAATATAACTGTTTGGTAATTGAAATAAAGTTTTTAATCTTTTCTTACAGTTGAACTCCGAGTGTGTTTTTTTCAGGGTTGTTTATTTTCCTAACAAAGAACCCTCCCCTCTATTAAAAATCATCCCCCCCCCCTAGAAGTTTGGTATGTTAGGGTTATATTCGCTGAATTTGGGAAAATTAATACTTTTTTTGGTAAAAATAAAAAAGGATGATAAAGGGTGATAAAACTTGCCCTTTCCTGTCCAATTTTACTTTTACACATATTCTCTCAGGTCTTCATAAATCATTACATCCCTGTGTTTGTGTAAATATGGTTGAAAGATAAAACTTAAGAACCCACTGGTAAAATCATAAATTGAATCCCAAATTGTTTATTGACAGTAAACAGTTTACTATCTTGCAGTGACAATGAATAAACCTTTACATTGTAAGAGAGTCTTGCCCAATGGACAACGGTATCCTTTCACTATTTATTTTGAATATTGAATATTTAAATAAAGCATTGTCATCATTTTTATTTTCAGAAATATGGTTGAGAACTCCTCCAGTCGTATGTTTCTTCCCATTAAGTACGTAATTTTTCTAAATAAAAAATATTCGCTTTTAAGACTTAAAGGTCTTGAGTTTTTTTATTTAATTAATACATAGCATATGAAATTTTTATTTATTTATTTAATTGAGGAATGTTTAGGTTTGGATGTAGTTTCATACTTGTTCTTTGTCTTGCTGTGCCAAGCAGTCGTGCCACAAGCATGCAAGCAAATATTACTCAGGTAATTTTATATCTAAACAAATTCAAATCATGATGTTGATTGTTCATTCCAGCAAATATTTGTCATCATCTTTGCAAAGCAGGAAAAAAAAATTTGAGGGGGGGGGAAGAATAAAAAAATTAGAATTATATACACCCCTGTTGCAAAGTCAAAAGTAAAGGTCGAAAATTAGTACAAGAAAAGCTCCCAATAAAACACCGAAATTTTGCAATTTTTCTATCTTCACTTTTTTCCCTTTCCCCTTTCTCTCCCCTTTCCTATACACCGTCTTTTGCTCTGATAAGAAATGAATTGTATATTTAAACATCTTTCACAGAATGACTTTGAGCTTTGAGCCAGTTTAGCCTGAAAATAAGAGGATTTTCATGAGAAACAACATAGTTACAACGTCTAGACTTTGAAATGTCAATCAGAAAAACAGAATGCTCAGAACAGTGAAAACAGAATGCCCAGAACAGTAAAAAAAACGGACATCAAAAACATTTGTTGTTCATCTTTTTAAAAAAAATTAAGAGAACTGAGATCTTGCCACAAACTCTGATTTGTCAATTATTATCTGTGCAACCGCCTTAAATTTGAAATATTAAGGTTCAGACAATCAGGTTGCAAATTCCTTTAATTTGAGTTTGTGGTAAGAACTTAGTTTCTTTAATTTGAGTTTGTGGCAAGAACTCAGTTCCTTTAATTTGAGTTTGTGGGTTCCTTTAATTTGAGTTTGTGGCAAGGACTCAGTTCCTTTTATTTTTAGTTTGTGGCAAGGACTCAGTTCCTTTAATTTGAGTTTGTGGCAAGAACTCAGTTCCTTTAATTTGAGTTTGTGGCAAGGACTCAGTTCCTTTTATTTTTAGTTTGTGGCAAGGACTCAGTTCCTTTAATTTGAGTTTGTGGCAAGAACTCAGTTCCTTTAATTTGAGTTTGTGGCAAGGACTCAGTTTCTTTAATTTGAGTTTGTGGCAAGGACTCAGTTCCTTTTATTTTAGTTTGTGGCAAGGACTCAGTTCCTTTAATTTGAGTTTGTGGCAAGGACTCAGTTCCTTTAATTTGAGGTTGTGGCAAGGAGTTAGTTTCCTTGGATCTGAATTTGAACATGATCTAATCTTAAATCAAAAAATGAGTTTTTTGTTTTCTTATGATAGAAATATCTTACCTAATTCCTTCCAAGATTATTTTTTACAAAGCTCTGAACGAGGGTTGAATCCAGGACCTAGGAATGCTATTGATTATTTTGTACCCAGAGTCAGATCTTAGAAAATTCCCTCTTGGGTCTTTCCCTCCGCTTGGAATAATTTCCCTGTTGAGATGAAACAGTCCGAATTACAGGAGTTCACTTGTGAAAGACTATTTTGTCCTTGTTGTTTAAACACTAAATAAATATAAATTTCAACCTAACATATATGTACATCACTTTCTTCACCTTTTAAAACTTGAATTTTTATGTATATTTTAATATACATTATACAATTTTTTTTGCAGTATTAAAAATGGGATATGTCTTCTTACAAACATTTGAACCTTTTTTTTTCTTGTTAAATATGACGATGTTTGTTGTTGTACAAGTTAGGTTGAGCTAAGTAATACTTCATTATTATTATTATTATTATTATAGTATCATGTTTATTTACGGTTTACTGACATCCTACCTACTCGTCCACTCGTATAGGATCCCTCCCCCCTGACATAAGATGTTTATTGGGAAAATTGTCTAAACTATAAATCTTCATGTAATAAAGATTTGATTTGCTTTGATCTGATCTGATCTGATCTGATCTGATCTGATCTGATCGGATCGGATCGGATCGGATCGGATCGGATTTTATTTAAGCTTGATTTAAACTAATTCTTCTTTAACGAGAATGGTGCTTCTATGCCACAAAAGAAAAAAATTCAACTATATATATTGTTTCCTTTCCGGCAGATTTTGTAGAAACCAACTCGTTAAGAATTACATCTGTATAAAACAAAGTTGCGCAAAAATAGGTTAATTAATATGTTTAACCATTTAATATTTACAGGATTATTTTTTATTTTATTCAGGAGAGTTTGGCAGAAGATGGTTTTATTCAGGATGAAATGGAAGGTTTTCAAAATATCAGGTATGTAGACAAAGCCTTTCGAGGTAAATGTCTTTGTCCCAAGCTCAAATATATCTTCGCAACCTATTTTGTAAACCTTTAATATTTCATACTTAGATCATTTGATTTAACAGAATTCATAATTTGAAACATTTAAGGTCTAGGGCATTTGGAAACAAAGATATAGGAATTAGAAAATCAGAGTTTGTGGCAAAGTCTCAATCCTTTTCCATATTAAACATTTATTTTTTTCCTCTTTACTGAATCTCAAAATATTTCTATTTAAAGAAAACCTTCATTCCGTCAATTTTCTTATTCTCCTGTTTTCAGATTTCTTCCTGTTATCTTCCTTTTTCCTATTTTGCTTCATACACATTCCAGTGCCAGTGTCCCCCCCACCTCCTCATCAAGGAAAAATATTCAAGGCTTTCAGGGGAAGGCCGGGGTAATAAAACGTAATGAATTCAGTTAAAGTTTAATAAAACAAAAAATTATAAATATTCTATTACTTGAACAACTTTCTTTTAGATTCATAAAAAAGTCGCAGAATCTTTTTTGGGCTTAATTTTCTAAAAAAAAACTGTTTTGAAGACAAGATTTAAGTCCTTGCATAATTACCATGTTTGTTTTTATAAAAAATCTCTTTTAGTATCGTTCAAGGAGAAGAGTTCGGTAACACCACAGAACACAAAGGATTCCTTCATGGGTTCGTGGAGTCTCTTTCTGTCATACTGGTAGGATACTGTTTTATACAATACTGGTAGGCTCCTGTTTTATACAATACTGGTAGGATACTGTATATTATACAATGATCGTAGGATACTGTATATTAAACAATACTGGTAGGATACTGTATATTTTACAATGATGGTAGGATACTGTGTATTATACAATACTGGTAGGATACTGAACATTTTACAATACTGGTAGGATACTGTACATTATGCAATTTTTGTTGGGTTGGATACTATAATCCTGGTAGTAGGGTTAGATACTGTATTCCTGGTAGGATAGGATACTGTTATCCTGGTAGAGTTAGATACTGTAATCCTGGTAGGATAGGATACTGTAATCCTGGTAGGGATAGATACTGTAATCCTGAAAGGGTTGGATACTGTAATCCTGGTAGGGTAGGATACCGTTATCCTGGTAGGGTAGGATACCGTAATCCTGGTAGGGTAGGATACTGTAATCCTGGTAGGGTAGGATACTGTAATCCTGGTGGAGTTAGATACTGTAATCCTGGTAAGGTCAGACACTGTAATCCTGGTAGGGTTAGATACTGTAATCCTTGTAGGATTAGATAATGTAATCCTTGTAGGGTTAGATACTGTAATCATTATAGGTTTAGATACTGTAATCCTGGTAGGGTAGGATACTGTAATCCTTGTAGGATTAGATAATGTAATCTTGGTAGGATTTAATAATGTAATCCTGGTAGGATTTAATAATGTAATCCTGGTAGGATTTAATAATGTAATCCTGGTTGGAGAGGGGTTATATTAACGACTAACTTTTTTTGTAGATTTAATTTTTTTTAAATTTCAATATCATGAATTCGTTTTATTCTTTAGGTTTCTGAGCTGGGAGACAAAACATTTTTTATCGCCGCAATCTTGGCAATGCAGAACAACAAGCTTCTAGTCTTCCTTGCTGCCATTGGAGCTCTCGCTGTAATGACAGGTTTTCAAAACTATTCCAGATTATTTTATAAAGCGTTTATTTGATTAAAGTTACATGATTGAAGTCTGAAATTGACTAAATTTATCCAAACTTTTAAAAAAGGAATTAAAAAATTATTGATTTTTGGGAACTATTTAATTTTGAGATATATATATTGCAGAAAAACGACATAGAACCTTTATTCTGAACTCGTCTTTTTCATAAATTACAAATAAAAAACGTAAAAACATCATTAGTGTCATTGTAATTTCAAGTAAATCTCCATTCAAAGAGGGACATGTCCGATTCACAACTGTACCCTTTAAACTTTTATTTGATCAACATTGTAGACGATACCGTCGTTTCTTTAGATCAAGTAATGCTCGACTCTGAACATTAACACCATTTTTTCTGTAAGCAGAAATCATGATGCAAGTCACTTTTTTAAGAAACTAAAATTGAGAATATTAGATTTTAGAAAGAGAAACATGGATATCTAATTCATTCTTTATCAGATAAAGTGTTTAAGGGGTACCTTAATGAATTGGAAATGCCACTGAAAATAACGTATGCAGTCCCTTTAATCATTGTAATATTTTAGTTTTATCTGCACTGCTTGGATTTGTTGTAACTACTTTTATTCCCAGGTAAAATCTTTATTCTCATGAAAAATTGTTTTTAACGTTAATTTTAGAATTCTGTTTTCCATTAAATAAAGTTCAGTAGAATATAATACTCCTACTTATAACTAACAACAAAAAACTAGCAATCAAAAAATTTGATTTTTAGCAAAACAAAATTTCATTAGAAACGTATAAATTTCGAGGTTACACTTTCACTTTTTTTGGTATTTACCCATCGAGTCGTTTAATAAAAATCTTTAAATATTTACAGAGAGTACACTTACTACGCCTGTACAGCTATCATGTTCCTTTTTGGGTTTAAGGTAAGATAAGAATTTATCAATAAATTATCTGTATATCGATTATTCTTTTTATAAATCTATCAATAACATAATAGACTTTAATCAATTAATATTCAAACATTATTCAATGAATCAACCATCAACTAATCAATCAATTATTAAATCATTTGATTAGTCAATTAAGCAATCAACTAAACAACTGATGAATATAGAAATTAAATTTTAAATTTATTTCCAATCTGTATTTCAAAACACTCTGTGAAAATATCATCATAATTTGATTTAATGAACAACAAAATGTGTTTTTATAAATGACGAGACTGAAACTGATCAGATAAAGACTAAATGATATAAAGTAAAGCTATTCAATTCTTTTCTTTGCGTCCGTATAAGGAAAAGGATTATTGCTGTAAATGTTCAGAAAAAGAATAATATTGTAGATGTGGTGTAGAAGAAGAATAATGGTGTAGATTCCAATGAGACCCGAGAGCGTTCTTTTCTTCTTGGGAGAGCTACGTCTCAGCCATGTAAAAGAGCGCACCTCTTTCTTAAGCAAACCTCGTCTAAATGTTACGATTTCAACTCGTTTTTCGCCACACCTCATATTTTATCCGGGTATCAAATTCACATCCCCTATGTGACCCCCCCATGTAGTTTATTTTAAGGTATCTCACGATATTGAAGTGAGCAGCTTGGAACGACAACTTCGCAGCTTGACAGCAAAATTTGAACCAAAACGGATTAGAGAATATTTCGCTTTTTCTGCACCTAAAAAGTAATAAGTAGAGCACCTTTCCTATATCTTTTATGGAGCGCTGTTGCTAAATCCATTGGAGCCATTTAACATTCCTTTCAAAATTTATGGTAATTAACATTTGCAATCATTAAGTAAATGTAATTATTTGATGTACTTACAAAGTTTAAACTTGAACATTTGTGATCTATTAGATATTTCTATCTTTATATTATAACTTTGAGCATGGGACTATTACACATGTTACAGTATTGTTAGCGAATTTCGCATGATAAAACACAAATATCTATTTCTAGTAAATGTAATTTTGTTTAAAACAATAACAGTTTTATTTTCTGTATATAATTCAATTTTACTTTCAACTCAAGAGACCTCTTGTGGTAATATTTGGAACTGTGCCTATCTCATGAAGTTAAAATATAAATGTATATGGAGGGAGGAAGGGATCTGTTAAAGTTATAACAGCTAAATGTGGAGAGGGGGGGGGAGGGGAGGAAGTTAAAACAGCTGCAGCAGCTTTTACGAGGCTTAAATTCGTGGCGCAAATGTGTAAATATATGCTCTTTCCAATTCTTAGCTTATAAGAGGGGTGGGGGCTGGGGGGAGTAGCAAAATGATCTGCGTTAAAACAAAGTTTATTTCGTCCATGCACCAAAAAGGGAAGGGGGTTGAGGAATATGGGGGAAATGGAGGCGTCTAATATTGGGTTTCAACATATTTAAAAAAATTCCTTTTTAAAATTTTGATAGCGTCGAAATCAACGCATTCGACGGGGTCTGCGTAAAATCTACGATATCGGGTCCAGTCTGGATGTTGTGTAGAAGAGGAATAATTTTGCAGATGTTGTGTAGAAGAGGAATAATGTATTAGGTGTTGTGTAGAAGAGGAATAATGGCGTAGATGTTTTGTAGAAGAGGATTAATGTATTAGGTGTTGAGTAGAAGAGTAATAATTTTTCAGATGGTGTGTAAAAGAGGAATGATGGTGTAGATGTTGTGTAGAAGAGGAATAATGTATTAGGTGTTGTGTAGAAGAGGAATAATGGTGTAGATGTTGTGTAGAGGAGGAATAATGTTGTAGATGTTGTGGGAGGCGTGGAGGATGTCTGACACTGAGCTGGAGGACACCCAGAGGGAGGTGGAGGAGGAGATTGCCAGGTAAACCGTCAAAAGTAAAGTAAAAAAGACTGAAAATAAAAATGACAAAGAAAATTAAAATCCACGAAATAAAAAAATTCTTTCTGGTAGGTCAACCGTCAAAAGTAAAAGCATAAAAGACTTCAAATTATAATGACGATGATAATTAAAATCCACGTAATCAAAATGTTATCTCTGGTATACCTTTTTCGTTTAACGTCTTTTTACAATAAACTTTAATTAACGACATATAGCTTAAAAATTAGCCTTAGCCGACGTTTATAGGAATTCAGCGTTAATGTTTCATTAAACTATAAAGACTGTTCAAATTTAAAGAAAAAGGTTGGTCTATATTTAAAAAAATGGAAAATTTAATTGCCTGAAGAATATTATTAAAATTATTTGAAGACGAGGTTCCATCTCGAGCTCAAATCCCGGTGTTACTGCAGCTGATGCTGAGGCTGCTGTTCCTATGACCGAGGCTGGACAGGAGGCCGAGGTTGATACTGATGCCTCTACGGAGGTTAAGGAGAAAAAGAAGTCAATGAGAGAACAAATCCGAGAGAACTCCTGGTTCGGGAAGAAGTGTTTGAAGATCTTCAAGGTGTTCACCAACACCTTCGGCATGACATTCCTGGCGGAGTGGGGAGATAGGTAGATATATAAGATTATGCGTTAAAATATTAGATTAACATTAAAAAAAAATTGTTACGTTTAATATTAATATATAGCTAATAATTATTTGTAATATATTTTTGTCCTCAGGAGGGCAAGACTTATTAATGGGATAACACTGAGTAGCGACTGATCTCTATAGTCAATATTCAAGGCGTTAACTTTTGAATGGAAGGGTTCAATCATCAAAGCCGTGAACGTGCAATAAATATCTAAGAAATGATTTATTGATTCATTGATTGATTGATTGCATTAGTTGTTGATTGATTGCTTATTTAGGTCCCAGCTAGCTACAATTGTGATGGCTGGTATTAATGATGTAGCTGGAGTATGTGTTGGAGGAGTTCTCGGCCATTTTATTTGTACCGGTCTGGCTGGTAAGAGAGTACAGTACATGCAATATGCATTCTTCGTACACATTTGGGCCTTAATAAAGAATTGGAAGTAAAGAAAGTGGTATATCAAAAAAGACTGAACCCCGACCCCCCCCCCCCTTAGTGAAAAGATGGATCACGTGCAGGGTTTGGGCACTTTTATGTAACCGCCTTAACTTCTTTAACATCCGGGACATAAAGCTTCATCCTAGCCTAGATTCAAATCACGTTAAAAACTCAAAAACTCCGAGATTTAGTACTACCTATAAAAAAGCAATTAGTTCAGAGAGTCTGTCTTGATTTTAGTCAGCAAGACAGAGTATCGTTACGAAACCCAGTATAGGAAACTCTATTTTATAAATGGGGTCAGGCTTTTTTGTTAAGAAATATTATTTCATCTGGTGTCTTTACATTCTTTTTTTCTATGATATCTTAAATTAAAATTACGCAAATAAATAGACCCGGAAAAAAGGAAACTGGGGAGTTCCGTTCAACTATACTCTCTTTCCGGCTCTGTCAGCAGCATACTGTACACATTATTTCTTGTATGTTTGAAAAGCCTTGGCACAACCCTGGCCCTGATAATGATTCACCCTTTGGCCCAAAATATCCTCAACTGTATTTGTTAAGTGCTGTGTGGTGCTCTCATCGCAAAGAAAATATCTGTCCGAAAAGTTACTGCCCTAGGAGCCCTGGTCTTCATAGGTTAGATAATTATAAACATTTTGTTAAAAATATCAAGCAAAAATATACGTTTTCTTTAAGTGAGTAACTTGGTTTTGGACAAACCATGATAAGATTTTTAGTTTTGATATTATTTTATTAATTTTTTTATACAGTTTTTAGTGAAAAACAATAATATGGAAATTTCGGAAACCCCCCCCCCCCCATCTTTTCTTTCTACTCAAATACATTTTAAAATTAAAAACAGTTTAAAGTTCTTGAATATTCTAGGATTTGCTATCGCTTCTCTATTCATCGATCCTAACGAGGAGAGTCATCTTGTCCCAGATGTAGAGGTAACGAAATAAAGTGTGTTTTTTGTTTGTCGCTGAGATGTTAAAAAGGATGTGATGATTTATCACAAACTCTAAAATCTATTACCTGTACCTATATCTTTATCTATATTTTTGCAAGATGGTGGTTAACATTTTGATATTTTAAACCTTGACCATTTGATCTAAGAGAGTACCAGAGTACTTATTTAAGAAATATCCAAGGTCAAGTTAACAAAAATGCTTAGAAGATTAGAGATTACAGCAAGCAATTAGTTCTTTTAGACAAATTCGGATGATTTAATAAAATTCTAAAATTTCTGTCATAGAGGATTTTTTCTCGGAAAGTGTTGAAAAAAATATAGGAAAATAGAGGAAAATAGAGGAAAACAGAGATAAAAAGAGATAAAAAGAGAAAAATGGAAAAAATTTGAGAAAATATGAGAAAATTTGAGGAATTAAGAGAAAAATAGAGAAAGATGGAGAGAAAAGAAGAAAATAGAGAAAAATAGTGAAAAATAGAACAAAATAGGGAAATATTAAACAAATAAGATAATATCAAGTAGTAACCTAGATTTTTAAAAACAAATAAATATGGTTGATATCTTGTTTCAGGGTGATAACCACAATGCCACAATATACAAGGAAAACCACATTTCTTTTGTAGAAACTACCACATCTAGGAATTTTACATTGTAGAAATGTACTTAATATTTGGTTTGACGAGAAAAGATAGCAATGAGCATTTTGCTATAATTTCTGTAAAAATGTTAAACTGTCGCAAAAGTATAAAAAGTAAACTCTAAATGACAAGTAATGTTCTAGTAACAAGTAACGTTACACTAAGGACAAACATTTTTCATGATGTCCAGAAAACAGTAAAAGTATGTTAAATGTTAATGTGCACTAAAAAAATATTTTACCTATTTCTGTTTGATAATGTACATAAAATCCTTGCAAGTTTGTGTTCTTGTTGTTAATTTTCTTGCCATGTTGAATGTGATAAAAATGTTTGAATAATATTATTTTAAAGCTTGGGCTCAATTGTATAAATCCATTTTGGGGGTTTATTTCTTCAGAATTTCTCTCTTTCCCTCTTTTGCAGCTTAAATTGTATTTTTTCTAACATTGTCTTGACAAATTTCTTGAACAAAAAAATTACTAACGTCAATATATTGGGTAAAGAATTTATTTATTTAGGGGAAGGTTCCGAAAAAATTACCCCCGCTTATATTTTCTAAATGCTCATATATATGCGTTTAAGCAAAATGAAAATAACTGAAACAGGGTAGCTACGAGACATGCTGACTGACCTACGAAATCAGAAACCTATGACCGGCCTGTAAAAACTTCATCTGTTTTGTATAATGTAAACTTATTGACTTCCTTAATTTCTTCCATAAAGCTTTCTACAAACTGGGGCATTTTTACCCTGTGCCATACACTGATCCTTTTATATGGAATAAACTTTTACCACATTCGAAAATTGTCGTAATAAAGAAACAATTTTTTTATGATTATGCAAATGGGATAAATATAGAGATAGCTAAATATCCATAATGCAATGTCTATGAACATCCTTTTAAGCAGAATTGAAAACTCATCTTAGTTTCATAAATGTCATTTTTCTTTATGATTTATATTATCAGTAGAAATTGTAAATGGACCATTTGGACAACCTACACATTTAAGAAAACTTCTTTTTTTCTTTATTATTCAATCATTTATTTTTTTAAGTATTATAATAATATAAAAGTTCCCTAAGACATATTTTGGAACTATATTTTTAAAATAATGTAATACTGTAATCCTTTTTCGGTGGCCATTTATATCTATTTATCCAGGTGAAGGCCTATGTAGTTCAGATATATATGTAAAATGTATAAAACATGACACTGTTATATTTGTAATGTATGCCAGAATATTGGGAAATTACATGGACTTAAAAAGTTGACATTTCTGGCTAATCAATTATAATTCCCCCCCCCCCCCCTCACTCAACCTGAACAATACCGATGTTTTTCAGTCCAGCCCAGTGCAGTGCCCATTCTCTCAAGTAAAATTGTCAATAACTGTTTATTGATTGATTATGAAAGGATATTAAATGTATTTCATGTAAATAAAAGAAACAATAAATGCTCTAGAATAGTACGGATACAATAATCGTTTATTTCAACCAAGTTTTACAATTAGCTGCACTGGGACCTAATTTAATGAATAGCGATAAATAGTTGAACTATGTAGACTTGTTTTCTTGTGCACTGGTTTAAGTGTGGTTCAACTTATTCTACTTACGTAGTTCAAATACTTCTCGTCAATCATTAAATATGGTCCCTGGTAAAAACTTAAGTAAAATTTACAATACCAGTTTCTTGGAAAAATTTTGTTTGGAATCCTTTATTCTCAGATTTATATTTTTGCTTAAATTATTTTCAACTCAATCAGATCAATTAACATTCAAGAAACATTTTCAGTAATTGTTAAGAAGATGAAAGAGGTATCATAGGCCTATGTTATTTTCCATTAGAGAGAAATTAATATCAACTCGTTTTCCGGCGAATCTAAAAATCCAATGTATAAAATGATTTAACTCGAAATTATCAAGAAATTGAGTCCTTGTCCTTTTTTCGTTTTGTAACCCAATGCTGTAGACCTTAGATATTTAAACTATGAATTATCTTATATTGAATAGTCCAAGTTTGAAATATCAAATGTTTACGCCCTCCGATTGCAAAGATATAGGAATTAGAACATTTGAGTTTGTGGCTTGGACTTAATTCCCTTCCAATTTGATCGAGATTAGAAAAAGTGGCAGCCACCCATCAAAAGCAAGAGATATTTTAGTCTGTTTCTGAAGTTTTGGTTCATACCAGTGTACAACCAAAAGTTCGTGTTCAATATCTGCGGGAGATTGTTCAAACTAAACAAAATATATTTTTTAATGGTTAAATAGTTTATTTCGAATCGATATATTAAAGAAAGAGAATAAATTTCTAAGGCAATATTTCATGTTCCCAACACCTTGAATGTTAACGTGAATGGATCCTGGGACTGAATTTAATTATTTGGAGAGGTCGCTGAACTATCTATCGCTGGTTCGAAGTTCTGAAACCCAGCTCAAATTCATCCAATTAGATCCTCGGATTACTATCTTTGATATGGTGTCTCTGAACTTAATCCTCGATTAGAACCTGGGCGTGACCTTGACCTTGAAAGGTACTGGACCGTTGGTGAACCCTCCCTGGGCCTGGAGAGAGGGCGGACCCTGGTCCCCGGGGGAGAAGGAGAACCTCTGCACCAGGTTCGTCAAGAACAAGAAGTTCTCCATCCGAGCCAAGGATTCTCCGAGACATCTCCTGAAGACAAGAATACTATACTAGGAAATAATAATATGCAATTTATGACGCAAACAAAGCGAATCAGGATTTTGTAAAATATCTTTCTTTTAAACTGAATTCAGAAACATTGACTCGGAAGCTTTGAAATATGCATTACCAGGGTTTATTCAATTGTGAACATTTTCTCTTTCAATACATTGTATTAATAAAAAAAAAAGTTCGCAGATTATATAAAAAAAATCTCGTGGGTTTCATATTTTAATGGCAATCGAATTTTGTTGGAGTCTGATGTTGATCATATATAAACCTTCTCTGGGGTCATATAAGGTCCCACACAAAATTTGGGCCGGATCGGTTTAGCCGTTTTGACGTCTATTGGATTCAAAGAAACAGTAAGAGAAGCAAAGTATATTCATGATGGCCGTACAATAAAAGGCAATTCCTTAAACTCATTTTATGTTTTAGAATTTAGACCAGAGGGCATTATCTCTTTAAACGTAAAATAGAACCTTTTATAAATTAAATTTAAAAGTAAATTATTGTTTAAAGAATTTATTTCAAAGTATCCCAATATTGTAATTTTCTCCGATCATTCAATATTTTCAAACAACTAACAAAACCTAGACATTTTTTTAATAAATAAACTATAATACTATTTAATATCTCACCGTTTTCCTGTTCCAAAAGCTAAAACTTTTTCATCAGCCACAAACATACCCTGAACATAATCTTTGAATATTGGGAATTACTTACCAAATTTAAAGGGAGTGTTCGCGAAAAATGAAAGGGGGTCTAGGCTTAATGCGTTAAAAAAGCGCTTTTGATCGCTAGTAATCACTTCTATCTGTTGCGTCTATAAGGAGAAAATTGTTAAAAACGACTAATACCGAAGAACGTAGTGTCCAAACAAATTCAGAAAGATGCAACATACGATTTAGACCGTAAAAAAATCTATTTAATTTCAAACAAATCATTCAGATATTACAACCTATAGTCATCGATTATCTTTCGCCACATTTATATATAGTTTAATTAAGTTAACTTTTTAACTTTAACTAGAAACGGTAAAACACAAGAAAAATTTTAAAATAAGTTTCAAATATAAAAACTGACAATGGAAAATAACTATCAAAGATGTAAGATGTAGACTGTAGAGATTTATAACGTTGCAAAAAAATCATTAATCATTTTTATCTATAATTAAATTAAGATATATTTAATTTTTAACATTTAATATTTTAGTGTCAAATATCAAATATCAAATCTTTAAAAAAGAAAAAGTATTAAACCTGTGAGGTAATTAACCTGGAGGGATTAAAGGATTGTGGATCCTCCCAGTATTATACCTGTGAGTTCATGAACCTGGATGGATTAAAGGATTGCATGGATTCTCCCAGTATTAAACCTGGGATTAAAGGATTGTGGATCCTCCCAGTATTAAACCTGGGATTAAAGGATTGTGGATCCTCCCAATATTATACCTGTGAGTTAATGAACCTGGAGGGATTAAAGGATTGTGGATCCTCCCAGTATTATACCTGTGAGTTTATGAACCTGGAGGGATTAAAGGATTGTGGATCCTCCCAGTATTAAACCTGGGATTAAAGGATTGTGGATCCTCCCAGTATTAAACCTGGAGGGATTAAAGGATTGTGGATCCTCCCAGTATTATACCTGTGAGTTTATGAACCTGGAGGGATTAAAGGATTGTGGATCCTCCCAGTATTTTGGATCCATATGCATTGTGTGGGTGTTAGAGATGATCATTGTGTTTGCTGGAATAATTGAACCACCTGAAATAAACTTCACATTAAACTAAAGTAAATTTTATTTTAGATTATAATCTTTTTTTTACGTTTTCAAGCATAGATAAATTTTCTCACAAGTTGATGATAATAGATTAAAGTTTGTATGCAACCAAATAAGTTTGCCTTTCTCATTCTTGAGTGATGAATGTAAACTACAATTGTGGAGTTACAAGGTTGCAAAGTCTTTGGGTAACAACTCATAAATTTTAGATTGTTCCTTATCTTAGATTGGAGTGACAAGGAAATGTTAGTGAACAGTTTTGATGGAAAAGTTATTGAAATCACTATTTGGACACATTTGATATATTGTGCAATTATAGCAATCTAGATTTTAGACTTAAAGGTGTGAAAATACGTTTCTTATTTTAAGAATAACTCAGAAATGAAAGTGCATCACTTCAGTTTTTTAAACACATATTTTTACAGTTAAAAATGGTGGGATCTGATTGTTTACCTATTTCTAATGGTTTTGATGTTCGTCTTGGAGGGGAAATGGGAACAATATTTCCCTATACAAAGGAAATAGTTACTCTCCGGCATACTCAAAATTTCAGATATCTTCAGAATCTTATATCTTTGCAACTTGATGGTATAGTCCTTTGATAATTCAAAGAACAAATTTTGTTAGATCAAATAATCTAAATTTGAAAAATCAGGTTGCATAGATATAAAATTTAGATTATTATAGAAACAAAATCTACATTAAAATCATTGTGTGAAAAAGGGACAGGATATTAACTTTAAATATTGAAATAAATTTTGTTTTAAATTGGATTTTACAAAAGTTAAATGGCATCCTTGGTGGAATCGTATCATGAGCTATCAGAGTTCTGGGAATCCTTGTATGGTAGATATCGAGATCAAATGCTTAATCACGATCTTCTGCTAAAGTACGGATGAATTTAATCTTTATTCGATATCCCGCATGGTAATCGTACCCAATCAGGGGTTAGAGGAAGATTTAAACAAGGAAAGAATAGCTGAAATGAAGAGATTGATCCGCCAACAGTGGATATCGAGATCAAGCGACTTGGATTATGAGGAAAGTTCCCAGCTGTAATAAAGTTATGGGTTCATCTTGTATTTGATACATTACATACATAGAGAATAGGATATATATTAGAGAGGAATTTAAAGAATCTCTCGATATGAATTTTTTCGGTCCCGTTCATCCTGAAAGGAAGTTCAAAGCGTACAAATCATGTAAATCTTCACACATTATGTGCAGTAGAGTACATTATTACAGTATGTTCCCTAGACTATTCATTTCAATTTCGAAATTTTTAAAGCTGTTAAATAAACTTTATAATGAATTAGGTGAATAAAAACCATCATTTGATTTATAGTTATAACGGAAAATCATCGTTTGTAAAGTGGAAGGCATAGAGTCTATGTGAAATGATGGAAACAGTACAACAAAATGGCCGTTTTACACTTTTTTCTAGTAAATTCCACTCTAATATATATTCTATTCTATATGATTACATACCACTCTCCATATCTCTAGAATAGTTGCTTCAGTATAGGGTAGCTTAATCTTATCCGACATTGTTAGCAGGGGTTTTCCTAAAATCATTTTTTTTCATATCGTCAATCAGACCACTTTTCTTATATTTTAAAATTTTAAACAATATCGTAGATAATTTCATTTATATTGGTTAAAGAGGGAGGGGTTGCTGCTCTCAGAGTTTTGGAATTGCTCCCAGGATTTTGGAGTAGCTCCCATGGTTTTGGAGTAAAATGTGAAAATTTATCCGACCTTTTATGAAAAGTCCTTTAAAAACGGTACTCAGAAACCGAAAGTTGAAAAAAGGACTCTGCTTCCATTTTTTTACTGTCTTTGTTCCCATACAGTTTTGAAGTACTCTTTTTAAAGGACTTTTCATAAAAGGTCGGATAAATTTTTACATTTTACTCCAAAACGCTGGGAACAACTCCAAAATCCTAGGAGCACTCCAAAACTCTGAGAGCAGCCACCCCTCCCTCAGTAAAATATAATGATTAAATCAATTTTCTAAAATATCTTATATTCATGGGTTTCATGAAATCATGTAATAAAGCTGAAGTTCAAATTGTCCAATCAAAATAAAACAACGCAATAGTGCAGCTCGCATGGACCAATTTCTTTTTTTATAAGTGTAGATGTAAATAAAAGAACAATGCATTGACAACAATATGCTGCATGACTTTAAGCTGTCTGGGGAGGGGGGGGGGATGAGGGGAGATCTTAGCCTTTTAGATTTACTCTTAGATTGTTTTATTTATATAAAAACCTCCGATAGCTGCATCAAGTTCTTCCTGAACCTTCTTCTGTACATCAGGATTCCTAGATGAAATGAGTTCAAATATATGTTACATTATGTACAGTGTACATCCATTTATTTATTTACAATTCTTGTTCGCTTGTAATGGGCCAACTAATCAAAACAACCAACTCTGGTTAGGCGGGTCCAAACTACATAGTAAATTGTGATTCTTTATTTGTATTATCTCGTGCTTTGTAGTTGAATAAAAATATGAATATGAATATTTCTTATTTATAAGAATTCAATTTCTTCCTAATGTTACCTGACTAATAGTGCTACAGCATACATTAGACTTTTAATAGTAGTCTCAGATCCAGCAGAAAACAAATCTATTAAAATAAATCAAAATTAAAGTTTCTTCTTTTTAAATTAAAATATCATAAAACTATTCAGATTGAATAAAAACCTAGAGCACTGATGAGAAGGTTGGATTTATCCATATGTTCAGTAGAACCAAGATCAAGCAAGAAGAGATCTGAAACCAGTTCACATTGTCAACGAAAGATTTTTAAAAGCAAACTGATTATTATCCTTATTTTATTTTTTTTAATTCTTGTATCATTGCATCCTGGAGGAAAAGTTTTTTATCTTAGACCTGTGACAACAGCGCATAGAGGATTCATTTCTCCCTGAACGGTTCCACCTTGATGTTGGATATTTTATGGGTTTAAGGACAAGGATTTACTTCAACGGGCCTCAACTTTAAATGTTGATACAGTTTAATCGCAAAAGCGTTGCCCTCTGATATCCTAGACCTTTGCATGATATTATTAACTATGAATTCAGCCAGGTTACTTTGTCAAAGTTAGAAATATCACCACACCATTGAAAACCAAAAATATAAGGTTTAAAAAATTATAGTTTAAGGCGAGAAATCAGTTTATTTGCTAAATCTATAAAAGTAGCAATCTATGTTTGTTTGTTTGTATGTCCGATCATAACTCGTAAACCCTTTGACTGATTTGCCTAAAATGTGTTTTGTGGAACTCTGTAGACCCACGGGAATGTTCTTAGCTTGGTTTTAAAATCCTAAATTGAGTTGGTTGACTTCTATAGATAATGTTTGGTTTGTAGGCAAAGATTGATTTCAAAGCTTCGTGAAATAAAATTGTGACTTTCCTATGAAATCTCTTGGATTATCTGGATCCAAAGTATCCTCATGATCTTTTATTGTTTCAGAAATAAAATTCCTCAACTCCTCCATTCCTAACAAAGATACAAAGTAGATTAATAAAGCCCTTCGCTCATATAATATGTTAGTGTTAACTGTAGCTGCCTGAACGGCTGGACCAAATTTTGTGTGAAAAACTACACTTTCTTCAGATAACAAGTGGGAAACTTTTTTTTCAATTTTCAAAGTGCGAATTTAGAGTTTAAAGATACCTTTGCAGCATTTGAGGAAAGTTGCCCTGAACGGAGGGAAATATCTAAGAAATGGAATTGTCCCAAGAGGTTGGCCAATCACCTGACACAAAAATATGATTTCTAGATATGCACGAATTGTTTTTACCTTTCTTCTTTCTTCAAACAGCCATTTTCTTTTTACTAGTAGATTTGGGAAGTAAAAATTACGAGTACTCAGGGCTTTTTTAAAACAAAAATGTCACGAAAGTCTTTTTAAAAAATCCACTTTGAATTAAAATTAAGAAAATAATTGTAATCGTCAAAATAAAATTCTTGGGATCAAAAATCTCAATCAATTTTGACAATTTGGCTAACTTTAAATCAATTTTATTGATAAAAATCATGCATACCTTTTTACCCATCAGCATAAAAGCGTCGAGACAAGCTAGAAGTTTTGCCATTTTTGCGTGTTCATAATCAAACCTCTCACCTGTTTAAAATCATTATTAAAATTGTGTTTTTTTTCAGTAAATCATGATTAGTTGAAACCAATGATAAGGATCCGGATCCGCAAAATTTAATGTTTGCCCTCAAAACACATATCTCAATTGTTGAAAATGACTAATAAGAGATCTAAAAAAAAAATTCTAACCTCTGAATGGTTCATTGAATCCAGTTTAAAAATTAGCGGAAAAAGAATTTTTAATTTGCTCTAAAAACAGTAACTCTTGAAGAAATGTTCACAGTTCAGGACTTAGAGCTGGATTCGCAGTTCGGATTCGGTTCGGATCAAAGTAAAATAAGCACTGCCATGCTGCTTAGATATATTTTATTCTTATTCTGAAAAATGCCACAGATCAAGTTAGTATCATTATCTTAAATCATAATTCAAAATATGCCTTTGCCTCATTAGATCGTGATTTGTGAGAGATATTTTTATTGTATCGAAGCCGAAAATCGGTTCAAAATTGACATCAATCGACGTATTTTAGAAGCCCCTGTATAAAGTATATCTGTATACCTGCCACTAGATTCCAGATGATATTTAACGCCGCCTTATTGAACACTTTGTCCAAATCAACTTCCTAAAATTATTACATTTTGTCAAATTGTTTTGTAACTGCAGTTTATTAGAAGATACTACTCATTCTTCTTTAAATACATGATCTGGTAGTCCCACGCGTGCGTCCTTCATGTGTTACAGATAATGAGACTATAGAGAAGACTGTACAGAATTTATTTAGTCTTTTAATGAAATTCATGCTTCTCTCGGGCCATTCACACGATTTTACTTTTTCTAGTTTTTAAAGGATTTTTAAAGAATAAACACGAAAGGAACCACAAACTCGAATGATTTTTTATTTATCTTGCAACCCGATGTTGTAGCAATTGAAATTTTAAAATATGAATTTTTTAGATCAAATAGTCTAAGTTTTAAATACTAGTTTAATAATTCCTTTGAAAAGGTATAGGGACAAGAACTCAGAGGCAGAATTTAAAGATTTTGAGCCGCGGCTCAAATTTGAATTTTACTGGTTTATGGCGGATCAGCAACGTGGATTAAATTCTTAAAATTCGGCCTCTGTTCATTTAACATTTAAATGGTTTAACTTCAGGAATTACAGGTCGTCATTACAGTCATATCCGTTGTTTGTGTCCCTGGATCGACACACATTAGCATGGGACGTGTCTCCAGGACTTCATCAATATGGTTCACCATTGTTGTTTATTACATATTTATCAATCAATGGACGATAAACCTGATCAGTTTTGGCCATTCTTCCTATTTCTTCCATTAAAAACTTTGTCTCTGCTAACACAGTTTCCTAGGAATAAAAACTTTGTTAAAATTATGTATGAAGGAAAACGTCCAAAACTATCGCGAGCAAGTCAGAAAGTTAAGGCAATATTTAGAGAGAAATGCTTAAATAGTTTAAAGAGACTGTAAAGGTAAATTTTGAGCTGCATTTTTCATTTAAATGCAATTAATGACCTTGTGAAACATTCAGACCATTTCTCTCAATTACAAGTAACATCCTAGAAAGACATTAGGAAGTATCTTTGCTAGGAAAGGATAGAAAGAAGATGGTTTGATTTGTCTTATTTGAGATCTAGAAAACGAAACAAAACTAGCTTAATGAATTGTTTATCTGATGGGTCAAGAACTAACTGTACGTTGTTTACAGGCCTTGAATAATACAATACATACCTCAGAGGCAGTTTTTCCAAACCCAAGATCCTTCAAGGTCTTCAGCATAAATCTTCTTAGCTCTGGAGAAAACAACATTTTATTTCAAGATTTTATTCAGAAACTTTAATCTTGAGACATTGTTTACTATAATAAAATCTGACGTTATATATTAGATATCTTTTCAATGTTCTTCAGAGTCTAGTTGTAATTTCCTACGACAAGAAAATAATAAAATTGAAAAATGTCATGTATTTTATTTATTATTTGAGATCATCTGTAATAATTAATCTTTGGGGTTAAAAAATACAAGTTAACTAGAACGTAATGAATTAATTGGTTATATGATTGTGCACCAATATGATGTATTTAACACATTTTTTATCACCTTCTTTAAGGGCAAATGAACCATAGTCAAATCAATAAAGCTATTACGACACCCCCTGTGTAATATTTCTGTAAATTAAAATGAAAAATACATATTGAGCTTTTACTTTTACAACTTTGCGACATCATAGCTCCTTAAATTAAAATTTCTCACCCCAATATCTTTGCTACCCGATGCCGTATACCTTTGATATTTTAAACTCTATATTCTGTTAGATTAAATCGTCCAGGTTTGAAATATCAAAGATTTACTCCATCGGATTGCAAAGATATAGGGAGTAGAAAATTTAATATTGGTTAAGGACTCAGTTCCTTTATTGGGTTGCATATTAGATATTCCATACTTGTTCATTTTTCTCAATTTTTCTGCAGAAAAGGAGCTACAGTAAAACCCTTAATAACGAATACATCGAAAGAATATAAAAATGTTCCCGCATATTCATGGATATTTATTTATTTTCGCAAATACTGAAATTTACGAAATATAGTAAAAAACTCATTGAAAAATTGTCAAGACGACATTTGATAAATTCTTCCGATGTATTCGTTATTAAGGGTTTCACTGTATGATTGATGTAAAAATTTCAATTGAATGTGAACTTCTCTTTAATATGACATCGACGAAGTTTAATGTATTTCATTTTCTTAAAATTACCAATTTTGTGCCGAATATGAAATTTCAAGATGTCTTACCTTTCCAGGCACTGCCTGAGTTAAATAGTACTCCCTTGGTTTCCTTTAAACTTCCGGCAAATATCAGATTTGCAATTTCGGGGACGGCTGAAAAAGGAATTGAGTCTTTGCCACAAACTTTGATTTTCAAATCTCTAAATTTTTGCAAACCAATGTCGTAGACCTTAGATATTTCAAACTATGAATTCTGCTAGACCAAATAACCTTAGTTAGAAATATCAAAGCTTTTCGCCATCAGGTTAAAAAGATACAAGGATAGGAAAGCAGTGTTTGTGGCAAAGACTCAATTCCTTTATATTTAGAAAAAAAACATATTTAAAGTCTGAATAACGAAGCTGGATAAATATTTAATGTATTTTACATCACTACAAAATTAGCCAAACATGTAATTTTTTTGAAAGACAGAGAGGTAAAAAAAAGGGAAAAATTAAATTTTTTTAAATATTTGAAAATTAACTTCTTGTTTTAAATCATATCACCTCTATCCTCAGCAAATTCACTAGAATGGATTGATTTTAATTCATCAAAGCCAGAAACAAGAACCATATCTTTGCCTCCAAGATTCAACCTATCGGACAATTTATTATTATCAAAACTCTCGGACATTTAATAAGGAGGATATTAACATCTTTTTATTTATTACGTTTGAAGAAGAAGATATAAAAAATCAGGTTTCGCTCATCTTTTTTATAAATAAAGGAAATGAGTCATTGGCGTAAATTCTGATTTTCTATTTCATCTTTGCAACACAATGACCTCAGATATTTCAAACTATGAACTCTGAAGGATCAAATAATCTAAGATTGAAACCAGAAATTTCTAGTCCCGTTTTTCGACAAAATCTATTTTTTTATTGTATATCCCGTCTGTGCGTCAAGTTGTTGCGTAAAGGAACTAAATACTAATTTTAAATTCTATTCTTCTTATTATTGTATCTAAATTCAACCTGATGGTGTAGATTTAAAACTTTGACTAGATTTTTACTTATAAAAACTTGCGGTTTGAAATATCTTTTTTAAAATTTAGAGATGTTTTTGTCCCCAGGACATGATCGGGTTTTTATGATCGAATATCGGAATTTTTCTATTGCGAAAGTTTGGTGTTGTAGGGGTATTGATCTGCCAGGGGTTGTAATCTGGCAGCGCATTCATCCGTCCACGCTTTATTTATTCTGAGAAGAGGGCTGACAAGAGTCCAGCTGACTAAGGGCTTCTTAGGCCTGAGAATAGTAGAGTGCAGGAATTCTTCTGGTATACTAGAATGTGGCCGGATGCCTTACAGATAGGAAACATCACACTCATTGCTCCCAATCATTCGTAAGCCCGGATTGGATACCTCCAGATACCTATAGCTGGCAACCATAGACTCTCCCTGCTTGTCAACCTTTCCTCTCTTCATCATCATTTACTTGGATCAACCCATTTAAAGCTTCTTTCTTGTTGAGTAGAAATGACGCCCCCTTTCGCTACGAGAGATGTTGACAGCCGCCCCTCTGTCCTCCTGCATCCGTCAGGTAGTCATAACTGCTTAACCAGATGTTGGCTTCAGATGATTTTGAAACCACAGGTTTGTGAGAAGTGCGGGAATCGGACCCGTGAACACCTGTCTGGATACCAATCCAGTTACTGGCTGTGGACAAGTGTGCTTAACTTCAGTGATCTAACGTGAACTGGTGTCACACACTAGCCACCCCACCCCACAAAAATGTCAATGATCTACATTATTGGGATGCTATAAACATTTTTAAGAAAGAGATGGAGGCGAGTAATCAATTACTTTATTTTTGGTCGTTTTTACTTTAAAGGAATTGGGTCTGTGCACTCAAACTCAAATTATTGATTGTGTAAACCTTTGATATTTCGAACTTGGACAATTTGATTTAACAGAATTCACATTTTAAATTATCTAAGGTCTTGGATATTGGGATGCAATTAGATAAATGACTTACAAAATTAGAGTTTGTGGCTATGACTTAATTCCATTATTTTTTAAGAGCTACTAGAAACGTAAACTTTCTCCTAAGTAACGTTAGTCTCAATCTATATATAAATTTGGCTTGTCTTGGTGTCTGTCTGTTTGTTTGTTTGTATCCAATAAGCGTCAAAACGGCTGAACAGATCGGGCCCAAATTTTTTATGGGACATCACGTGACCACAGGGAAAGTTTATGAATGATAAAATTTTTTTAAAAATGTGTTTTAAAAGTTTTTAATTTTGTAAAAAAATTTAAATTCTTGAAAATCCGCGAATTTTTTCTTAAAAATCCACAACATTTTTTTCTTCTTTGTTTTAAAATGTAAACAAAAAGAACATGTTCACAATTTAAATAGAAGATGGGCGCGAAGCGCCTTAAAAAGTATTCTATAATTTACCTGATAAGGTCGCCATATGAACTGGATATTTTAGAAAATGCTTCATGGGCAATACTGCCTGATTTGCCCATTAAAGGTATATGTCCCAGTAACCAGTGAAAGGGTGGACTGGGCATATTAAACCCTAAAAAAAATATTAGCAGTTCTGTAGTTACTAGGGGGGGGGGGGAAGGGTGACGTCCTCCTCTCATAACACTATGCATATGGAGCATTTATTACTGTGATAACCAGGAAAAAATGAAATAGGAAGACGACATTATAGCAATAATTAAGTGTATTTGATGTTGTTAAAAGCAAATATTTTTACTATAGAAACTTAAATCACTTATTTAGTGAAATGGGTCTGTTTACACTGCACAGTTGCTGTATCTTATGCTCATTGAACTTTTATGATAATTTGATTCTAAAAGTCAACTTCCTATCAGAGTTTTCTGTTTACCACTGTATGTATAGAGGGTTAACAAGAAGATTAAGTTGACAAAAACGTTCAGAAGTAAAATAGTAAAAATGATTTTATTCAGAAGTTTCTTTCCGAACATTTTCTTAAGATTTCTAAGAATTTAATTATTATTTAAGAATGTATCTGCAAAACTTCCACTCTGATCTAGTTTAATAAGTAGAAATTACACTTTTAGGAGAACCAAATTAAAATAGAAGGAACATTATGAAATGGTTTAAACTTGTAATGGTTTATCATGTTTGACTCTAATTTATCTTTAGTTTACCATGTTTCCTTCGTTTAAGAAGAAAGATTCCAAAGAGAATAGAGCAGAAAGCAATTAAAACTGCAAACATCATTTTTTCTGAAATATACGAGAAAATCAAGAAAAATCACTCTTTTCAATATGTATAAAATTTGTTATGAAAATGTGAACTAAAACTTTCGTAGGGATATCTTATATTCAATAATTCCATGAGGATTTAAAAAATGCTCAGAGTTTACATCTTCTAGCTTGGGAACCCATCTTTACCTTGAAATCTGAACTTACCCAGTGAAAGAATCTTTAAACCAAACTAATGACATTTATAAATATATAAATCAATAATCTGTTTTTTTGTCTGATCATAACTCATTGACCCTTAAACGATTTGCCATAAATTTTGGTTGGGGAACTCGTCAAAGCCAGGCAAAGCTGGGTTCCAAAGCTAGTCACATGAAACTAAAGTAAAATGCATGTACAATTGCAATCTTAAATGTTTTTTATCATAAATCTTCTTATTGAAGGCTGTTGAGAATATGTAACTCAAAAATTAGCTTTTCTCATACTTGTGCAAACCACGACATTCTTCGAGTATCTTCGAGTATCTACGATCCTCCGAGTATCTATGAGTATCTTCGAGTATCTATGAGTATCTTCGAGTATCTACGAGGATCTCCGAGTATCTACGAGTATCTTCAAGTATCTACGATCCTATGAGTATCTATGAGTATCTTCGAGTATCTATGAGTATCTTCGAGTATCTTCGAGTATCTACGAGTATCTTCGAGGAGTATCTTCAAGTATCTACGAGTATCTTCGAGTATCTTTGAGTATCTTCGGGTATCTTCGAGTATCTTCAAGTATCTTCGAGTATCTACGAGTATCTTCGAGTATCTTCGAGTATCTTCGGGTATCTTCGAGTATCTACGAGTATCTACGAGTATCTTCAAGTATCTACGAGGATCTACGAGAATCTATGAGTATCTTCGAGTATCTACGAGGATCTTCGAGTATCTTCGAATAACTTCGAGGATCTAATAGGTCGATCACAGTATTGATTTCTCATTCTGTTAAATTCATAGTGTGAAGTGTGAACCCAGCTTTGCCCGTTATAGTCAACCGAATAAACTTAGAATCTTGCTAAGAACATTTCCGTGGTTCTACGGAGTTCTTTTTATCAAAATTTGAGTAGTTCCTGAGTTTTGATCGGACATAATAAATTTATTCGTTTTAAATATCATTATTGTTTATAGTTTAATGTTCTGTAAATTTTCATATACATTTGTATTGTTATTATCGTTTCCAGTTTAGTGTTCTGTAAACATTCATACATTAGCTGATTGTTATTATCGTTTACAGTTTAGTGTTCTGTAAACATTCATATACATTTTGATTGTTATTATCGTTCACAGTTTGATTGTTATTATGGTTTACATGTTTAGTGTTCTGTAAACATTCATATACATTTAGATTGTTATTATGGTTTACAGTTTGGTGTTCTGTAAACATTCATGTACATGTTGATTGTTATTATCGTTTACAGTTTGATTGTTATTATGGTTTACAGTTTAGTGTTCTGTAAACATTCATATACATTTTGATTGTTATTATCGTTTACAGTTTAGTGTTCTTTTAAACAATTATGCCTTTTATAGTATTTCTAATGTTTACATTTAAATGTTTATCAACTTTTTTATATTTTATCTTATTATTATTAATCAAAATTTATAATACATTTTTAATTTATAAGTACATTTTATATCATCATTATTGTTTACAATTTATAATGTATTGTATGTAAACATCTCTATCATATACATTTTTAAAGTTTTTTTTTTAAATTTTAGTCTGCTGTAAACACTGAACATAAAACATTTTACCAATTTGTACAGTTTATTTTAACTAATAGGAATTTTAAGATTTGAGTTTTTAAAAAAAATGTGTACTGCGTATTACAAATGAAATATATAATAGTAGAAAAATTGAATATCCTCAAAATAAAGAAATTGAGTTTCTGCCACTCCGATTTTTTAAATCACTTTATCTTTGAAATCCAATGTCGTAAATCGTAGAGATGAATTTTGATAGATGAAATAAGGTTTACATCGTCAGGCTGCACAGATATATGCATTAGAAAATTTGAGTTTGTGATAAAGGTTCAATTTCTAGTTTGTTTAAACCTAATTTGTGTACTCTACGATGTACACTATAACCTATTGTTGCCTGAATGTGTGAAACTGGAAACATCAAGATAGAACTGACTCAACTGACAGTGGTGTGCACATAGAGAATAGAATATATAGAGAGGAATTAAAAGAATCTCTCGGTATGAATTTTTTCAGTCCCTTTCAGCCTGAAAGGGAGTTCAAAGTGTACAAATCATGTAAATGTTCACAAATTATATGCAGTAGAGTACATTAATACAGTATGTTCCCTAGACTATTCATTTCAATTTCGAATTTTTTAAACTGTTAAATAAACTTTATAATGAATTAGTTGAATACAAACATCATTTGATTTATAGTTATAACGGAAAATCATCGTTTGTAAAGTGGAAGACATAGAGTCTATGTGAAATGATCATTTCATAATTTGGTTTTCTTTTAACAATAATTTTAGATTTTCTATAAAATGATATTCCAGGGCCCAACAGGTTATATAGCATAAATATGTGAAGTACACCTGGAGTATGGAAACAGTACAACAAAATGGCCGTTTTACACTTTTTTACATTTAATTCCTCTCTATATATTCTATTCTCTATGGGTGTGCATGACTACTATTGCTTCAAGGCAGCTAGGCACAAAGCAGAAAATTAGAAACATTCAAAAACCAAGCCAAATGTTTCCTAAAAACTTTAAAAACATTTTTACTTACATTGTTTAGAGTTCATAAATTAAATTTAAAAAAATTAAATTAATGAAGTTTCTATTGTAAGTATATATTCTCCATTCGTTTCATAATTTTGAAATTACGAAACTGAGATTGTTTCGTAACAAACAGTTGATGCATGATACTGACAATTTAATGATTAAAAACTTCAAAAGCATTCATGCAGTACGCACAGAATAGCTCTGAGCATTAACATCTTAGAAATTGATTGTGTACGTACATTGTACGTCGCGTAAAATTGTCTTTATCTTTCAAGCCTGTAGATAATGATTTATGTATTATTTCTAACGATGTCATATTTGTCCGAACCCTGTCGCACTTTTCAGTGTCACTAGAACGGTCAATTCATTCTGTGACACTAGAAAAATCCATTCGCTCTTAGTGACACTAGAAAATTCAATTCTATCTTTTTGTGACACTGAAAGACCAATTTTATCCTTCTTGTTGCATTAGAAAGATCATCATATCTTAGTGACACTAGAAAAATAAATCATATGCCTTTGGTACACTAGAAAGATCAATCCTATCTTTGTTACACTAGGAGAGATCAATTCTGAAAACTGATTAGTATCCTTGTAAAAAACATTTTCAAGTTTTTGATCATTGCAACCTGATGTCGTAGTGCCTTGATATTTCATACTATAGAGTTCTGCTATTCCAAATAGTCAAAGTTTTAAATATCAAAAAGTTAAAACAATGCCAGGTTGAATGAGGATTAGATTTAGAAAATTAGAGTTTGAGGCGAGATTTCTGTTCCTTATGATTTTATTTTCTGAACTTAAATTTACATCAATTTACCAATAATAATTAAAAAAAAATAACACTTTGATGATTGTGTTTACAAAAAAGCTCAGATGATCAAATTAGTTCGTAATTATAAAAAAACAAAAACAAAAACATTTTATTTCAGGAATCCGCAGCATATTTCTCAACGGAATTTCTCAGAGATCTTCAATAAAATCTTCTCCAACGTTAATCCCATAATGTAGTTTTCCATCTTTAGCATAGGCCCAGGCCATCTGTTTACTAAATAAAATATATTTACGTTGTATAATATAATATAATTGTATATTTATGGAATATGGTAAGAAAAATAATAGGTTGTATGCAAGAAAAGGAATTGAGTCTTTGCCACAAACTCTGATTTTTAAATCCCTATATCTTAACAACCCAATGTTGTAGACCTTAGATGACTTAGATATTTCAAACTATGACTTCTGTTATGTCAATCAATCAAAGTTTGAAATATCAAAAGTTTACATAATTTGGTTGTAGATATATAGGTATTAGAAAATTGGGATTTGTTGCAAAGACTCAAATCCTTTATATATCTATTTTGAGATGACTAAAACAATATTCTTTTAGCATTAAAAATGTCATTATAAAAAATCTAGAAACTATCTTATTTTATTCTTGGCATGGAAATTGCAAATTCAGGCCAATGGATTACAATATTTCTAACAGGATCAAGAACTGTAATTCCACCGTTCCTTTTAACTCTATTAAACCTGTTCCAATGGATTCCAATATTTCCAGTAGGATCTAGAACTATAACTCCACCGTTCCTTTCAACTCTATTAAACTATATATAACCTGTTCCAATGGATTCAAATATTTCCATTAGGATCTAGAACTATAACTCCACCGTTCCTTCCAACTCTATTAAACTATATATAACCTGTTCCAATGGATTCCAATATTTCCAGTAGGATCAAGAACTATAACTCCACCGCTCCCTCCAACTCTATTAAACTTTATATAACCTGTTCCAATGGATTCCAATATTTCCAGTAGGATCAAGAACTGACCGTTCCTTCCAACACTATTAAACTATATATAACCTGGTCCAGTGGATTCCAATATTTCCAGTAGGATCAAGAACTATAACTCCACCGTTCCTTTCAACTCTATTAAACTATATATAACCTGTTCCAATGGATTCCAATATTTCCAGTAGGATCAAGAACTATAACTTTACCATTCCTTCCAACTCTATTAAACTATACATATCCTGTTTCAATGGATTCCAATATTTCCAGTAGGATCTAGAACTATAACTCCACCGTTCCTTCCAACTCTATTAAACTATATATATAACCTGTTCCAATAGATTCCAATATTTCCATTAGGATCTAGAACTATAACTCCACCGTTCCTTCCAACTCTATTAAACTATATATAACCTGTTCCAATGGATTCCAATATTTCCAGTAGGATCAAGAACTATAACTCCACCGTTCCTTCCAACTCTTTTAAACTATATATAACCTGTTCCAATGGATTCCAATATTTCCAGTAGGATCAAGAACTATAACTCCACCGTTCCTTCCAACTCTATTAAACTATATATATAACCTGTTCCAATGGATTCCAATATTTCCAGTAGGATCAAGAACTATAACTCCACCGTTCCTTCCAACTCTATTAAATTATATATCACCTGTTCCAATGGATTCCAATATTTCCCGTAGGATCAAGAACTATAACTCCACCACTTCCTCCAACTCTAACCTTCATATATTCAAGAGCTTCTTCAGCAGCGTCCTGAACTTTAAAGGTTTTAACTTTATAAGTATGAATTCTAAATTCTGTTTTACAATTGGAAGCTACAGAGCTGTCAAACTTGTGACTTTACTATAACAGTTTGATTTTGCGAGAACAATCAAGTTCCCTTTTACCTTTGGAGATAACCCCATCTCTATCTTAGAAGCAATTCTCCTTGCAACTCCGGCTTTCATAAAAGTTTCTCCTATGGTAAAATTTTACTTATTTAGTATCAACACAAAAGATTTTAATATAAGATAAAAAATGTGAGAGTGAGCTAAATATTTTGCTGGAATAAAATCATATAAGACGCCCTAGCTTGGGAACCCAACTTTGCCAGGCTCTAAACTTTGCCATAAAAGTCAACTTACTCAACTTAAAATTGTAATACCAGACTAAGAAATATTCCGTAGTTCCAAAATACAAATTGAGGCAAATCTGTCAAGGGTTCATGAGTCATGATCAGACATACAAACAGATCACTTCTTTATAAAATCAAATATGTAAAGTTTTTCTGTTGATTTTATCCGATCATAGCTTATGAACCCCAACTCATCTTAAATTTCTATTGGAAAACCACGGAAATGTTATTAGCTTGACATAACAATTCTCAGTTGTGTGGGTTTACTTTTATTGGAAAACTCCAGACAAAGCTGGATTCCCACGCTAGAATCTAATATGTTAAAGATCTATAAAAAGTTTAAAGTAAATTGTTGAAGCTGTAATTTACCAGATCCAGTGCAAGATATGGCTGCACTAAGATTGTCCGCGAAAACACCATGCCCCACGGAAGGACTGTCACCAACCCGACCTAAATTATAAATTTTTTACCCACATGTGAATTTTAATGGTGACCTAAAACATAAACTGCCGGAAGTTTACAGAAAAAGAATTATTGAAGTTTGTACTATTCTTTGTGGTTAACCCTGTATTTATGTTACTAACCTTAACAAATCTTATATCTTCAAATTTTCCAATTGGTTTAACTCTTTTAAATGTTAATTTACAAGTTTTAAATAAGTACCTGGTATTTTCCCAGTGATCCCTCCAGTACTTGTGGCTAAAAAATAATCATGATTTATACGAGAATATAGTTAAATATTTTCTTCTCAGATCAAGAAAACCGATTACAAAAGAAGGGAACACAATTTTTTTCTATTTGTCGAAACTTAAAACTCTGATCCGCAAGCTTTTGCTTTAAAAGCTATCAAAGACGAAAAACAAATTTATTGTCGTCATTAGCTTCTCATTTTTTGGAGACACCCTATAGATACAAAGCTTTATTATTGGAGGACGAATTTTAAACCTACCTCGTTGTCCTTTATTAATGAACTTGGATAAGTTCTGAAAAGGAATTGAGTCGTTGTAACAAACACAAATGTTCTTATCCCTATGTATTTGCAACCTGATGATGTAAACCTTTGATATTTCAATCTTAGATTATTGGATCTATCAGAATTTTATAGTTATAAATATCAGAGGTGCAAAGATAGGAAGATTAGAGTTTATTGGGAAAAATGAATTCCTTGAATGTAAACCTGCTGCTAAGTTTCCATGAGTATCGACCACCACAGCTCCAACTGTTCCATGACCAAACTGATGACCAAGATGTTCAAATGTCCAAATCATCTCACTGTCTGAATAAGTAAGCATGAGTCAATCTATTTGTATATATAAAGTAGTTATATGTTTGTCTGTCTGTCTGTTCTTGTGTCCGATTATACTCAAAAACTCTCTGACGTTTTTGCCTCAAATATTGGGAACCCGTTTAACCCAAGGAAATGTTCTTCAGAAACAAAGAGATCTAAATATAAATCGTCCAGTCCTTCATATAATTGGGATTAGCTGGTCATGGTCCATTTAAAATACAGTGTGCTCCAGGGAATTGTATGTCGTCGTGTCTCCAGATTCAGTCATGAACCAATAATCATGTTCATTTCTTCTGCGTCCTGTGGCCGAATTTTAAGAATTTGAGCCGCGGCTCAAAATTAAATTCAATTTTTCAAGATTTAAGCCGGCGCTCAATTGAAATCGGTTTTTGGGGGATTCGTGCCGCGGCTAAAATTTATTAAATTCGGACACTGGCATTTCAAAAATATCGGTTGGGTCTATATCAACATATCAAAATTACCGGAAAAAGAAAAATTTTTGTTAATCTTTGATATTTTAAACAAGACCAAATTATAAATATTTCATTTAGTAGTTATGAAATTGTTATGCAGATTTTTGTTATCTAAGATAAAGAAGTTGAGAAATTTTCAGGATTATTATTAAGAGGGAGAGGGTAATTAAGGCGCGCAACTAGACATTCAGCAAGGGGGGAAAAGAGCAAATAGTTTGCGCGTAGCGGAGAAAAAATAAAAAGAATCTGAGCTTATATTGAAAAATAGTGGAATTTGAGTTTGCCTTAAGAGTTTTTTTCTTCAAATTTTCGAGAAAATTGGTTATGTTTGGAACTATAGAGATCCCTGTTAATGACTTCTTACCTCCTCCCCCCTCCCCCAACACGGGGGGAGGCAAGCCTTCTGCATCTTGCGAAAATGGTGTATGGAAAATATAACTGTGTTATTACCTATATGAGAGATGTTATGGTTTCTAAGATACTCATCTAGAAGTTGTCTACTTCTGTCTGTAATCAACCAATCATCTCCAACCTCCTCACCACCGTTCCTATAACAGTAAGCAACATAAAACTGTGCAATAAGAAGACGACTGTTGGACTCGAGTTGGGGATTTTAAAAAGTCTAATAAATACAACAAAGACACATAAGAAACTTTTTTCTTTTTCCTATTCAACAGTTAAATGGGTCATAGCAATGTTCCAGATATTTCAACAGAGATTGTGGATTTTAAAAAAACAATTTTTACAATTTTTTTCTTAATTTTAAAATTCTTTAAAATTACTTAATTGCAAATTTCCCTGCCCCTTCACCAACAAGGAGAACATGGCTTGAGTTTTCCATTACAGATCTAAAAATTAAATAAAAATGAAGTAGATTAAAAATGTGCAACAATGTTGAATACCTGGCTGCTTCAATCGGATGCTTGATACCCTTTAGGCAAGCTACTCCGCCTAAATACCAAACTTTGTTTTTAAAAAATATTTTAAGGCAAAAAAATATAACCTGCTTCCATTTGTTTCCCATCCATAACTGCTGCATCCATCTCTACCTGGCCAAGGATTGTAAGTTTTGAACCTCGCCCAGCATTGAAGGCTGGATCGTCTTCCATTATCTTGACAGCTGATATTGCGGCATTCAGCGCATTGTCAGAACTGTAACATTCAAAACGGTTATTTACCTGTAAATCAAACTTTTTGTTTAAATTTCTCTGGACACTCTTTATTAAAATTACCTTTGGAGCATATTCCAGCCTTCTCTGACAGCATTCTTCATACCTTAGAATTCAAAAATATTTTTCTTTATAAGTTAGGTTAACAATTTTTTTCCATTTTCTGTTTTTCAATGAAGCTATGAGTTTGAGGTAACAATATCTCAATATATTTAGAACCCGATGTTGTAAACCTTTGTTTTTTTCAAACTTTGCATTCTGGATTTAATCCATCATGTTGCAAAGATTTAGAGATTTGAATATCACAATTTGTGGCGAGTTCAGTTCATCTATTTATCTATCTTATCTATTGTTACTTAAATTTTCTTTTCAGTAATTCTGTTGTCCTATTTATGTAGTCTTAATAATTGTTAAAATGACAAACCCAAGATATTGATATAAAATCCAAGAATTACCATTTATCTTCTCCTCCTCATATTCTGGTGGAATGCTGCCTAATAAAAACAAAAAAATTGAATTGTATTTCTATTTAGATATATTTAGGGAATGAGGCTGTTTTAGTGAATGAACACTGTAGAAATAATATTCAGTATTTGCTGCAACTGGCAAATGATTACATTTCTTTTTCGCATCATTTATTAGCAAATACTGTATAAATATACATTAAAAATCATATAATAAATCGTACAGTACAGTACATATAAAGAATATACCTGCTCCACAATGCAGTACAGTACATGTAAAGAATATATTATACCTGCTCTGCCATACAGTACAGTACATATAAAGAATATATTATACCTACTCCACCATAAGCACAGAACATATACAGAATATATTATACCTGCTCCACCATACAGTACTGTACATATAAAGAATATATTATACCTGCTCCACCATAAGCACAGTACATATACAGAATATAGTATACCTGCTCCACCATGCAATACAGTACATGTAAAGAATATATTATACCTGCTTTGCCATAAAGTACAGTACATGTAAATAGGGTTTCCAACGTAATAGATTATTCTCTTACACGTAATTACGTGCAATTACGCATAATAATTTTCATTTCGTGTAATTTCGCAGGATTACACGTAATTGGGGAAATATCTATTTCGAGTCGTAATTTCACGTAATTTCTACAACGTAATTTCGCGAAATTTCGTAATGATTACGCGTAATAAGCAAAACTATAATCAAGCGTAATTACGGCATAATTTCTACGAGGTACTTTCGCGAAATTTTGTATTAATTACTTGTAATTAGCGAAACTTCAATTTCGCTAAATTACGCCGTAATTTCGCGTAATTTCTATAAAGCAATTTTGAGAAATTTTGCAATAATTAAATCTATGAAATTTTGAAGTTTCAACTTTTAATTTAAAAAAAACAACTAACCTACTAGGAAAATAATGTCACGCAAGTTGAATCAGAAATTTCAGCCTTATACTATGTTGAATGTTGATGTAATTTCAGCCACTACTATGTTGAATGTTGATGTAATTTCAGCCACTACTATGTTGAATGTTGATGTAATTTTGTAATGTAACAAAGGGCCAACAATTTATTTTTATCAAAAAAAATACATAATCTATAAATTTTCAATTTTCAACGACTTGTTAATATTTCAACCTACTTTCTCAAGTTTACCTTCCTTGTTTGAAAAAAATGTCAATAAAATCGTCAAAATATTTTTGACATGGTTGTAGCGGGCATATCCTTACAAACAGGGGCGGATACAGGATTTAAGTGAGGGGGGGGGGCATGATTTTTAAGGAACAAAAAAATTATAATTAAATGAACAAAAAGTCGCGCTTTTGGCGAAAATTTTTTGACAGACTCAAAAAGAGTCGAAATTAATGACTAAAGACTAAAAAACTAGATTTTTAACTTTTCACACATTAAAGTTTATTGAGACAGATATTTTTCCTGTTTTGCACTAGGGTTTCTTTCCCTTAAGCATGCTATTGAGAAGCTATTCTGAAAATAGGAACAAAAAATTTCAAATTCAGGGGGGGCGTATGTCCCCCGCCCCCCCCCTGTATCCGCCCCTGCTTACACATACTTTCCCGCTATAATTTTTTCTGAGAATTAATATGTACTTTATTTATTATGGAATTGTTTCGTACTACGTAATTTGGCGTAATTACGCATTAATTACGCGAAACTAGACTTTCTTTCGTAAACGTAATAAACGTGTAATTACGCGTAATGAGCGTAATGCTCCTGCGTAAGTGAAAGAAAGTGTTACGCGTAACGTAATTACGACTGGAAACCCTACATGTAAAGAATATTGTAACAATGTGTGATTTTGTTGATCTTTTACGATAAGCGATTCAAGGATTTTTTAGATCGCTGAGATCATAGCTACCTAGGGGTATCATGCCCCCCCCCCTTTTACCCTTCGGTTGGACTTTTGAATCCTATTTTGAATCCCTAGAGCTTAACCCTAGTTCCCCGGGAGCTGGCCGGCCATCCCACCAGCGCCCGGGCCTCTGGAATAACGGAACAATTGGCGTGGCTTCGGTTATCGGCGTGGCTTGGGTTATTTATAGAGTTCACATGCAAACTCAAATAAATCTGTTAGCAAGGGTGGAGTGAAACTCGGGGAAAAATGCCAGTTGAAGACCAGCTCCCTAGTTAATAGGTTCCCCTGGAGATCTCCCATCACTCTGAAACATTCTCAATTCATGCTACTCGATTCGTATAGTATTTTCCCTTAGTTTTTGTATCGTTGTAAATAATAATAAATTGTAAGAAAAACCGACTCGTCGAATATTCAATCAAATGAGTAGTTGCATTGATTCATTTTTTCTTTCATATGTAATAATATATTATACCTGATCCACCGTTCAGTAAAGTACATGTAAAGAATATATATCTGCTCTACTATGCAGTACAATACATGTAAAGGATATATTATACCAGCTCCACCGGCAGTACAGTACATGCAAAAAATATACTATACCTGCCCCATATGCAGTTTATGGCACATGTATAGAATAAATTTACATATTCTACTATGCAGTACAGCACATGTAAAGAATATATTTACCTGTTCTACCATGCAGTACAGTACATGAAAAAAATATTTAACTGTTCTATCATGCAGTTCTGTACATCTAAAGAATATAATTATCTGCTCCACCATGCAGTACAGTACATGTAAAGAATATATTTACCCATTCTACGCCATACAGTACCGTACATGTAAAGAATATATTTACCTGCTCCGCCATGCACAAGAACCACCGGAGCCACATCAATGTTCCCCTTTATATCAAATCCTCCAGACACCTTAATATCTTTAAATAATTAATAGTTATAGTTTAATTAAACGATTCTTTTAACTGTTGAGGATTCGCCTATAACGAGATATATTTCGAGTTTTGATTGGTTAGTCATAAAAAGTACTCAAAAAATAAATACAGCAAGCGGAGACAAAAATTCAGGGTGTGGAGGTCATTTTGCTTCGGAGGTCATTTCGCCGGTTTCATGGGGGCCCTGCTACCCCTCACTCGTTGAACCGGCCTTTTAAAAATATACATCATTTTTTAGGTATTAACCTTTTATCTATATACGAATTTGTAAAATAAATTTAAACCTAGATTTTCATATTTAATCATTTTAATCATCATTAAATAGACCACATTTGAATTTAAATCCTACTTTAAGATACTGAAGAGAAAAACATAACAAAACAAAAGCAGAACACATTTTCATCGAATGAAATAATTCTGAAACTGAAATTAATGAAAGATACTCCTCGTTATCTAGGTTTAGATAATGTTGACAGTATCTCTATGTAAATTAAGCTGAAAAATGACGATTTTTAAAACCTGTTTGTATTGGGTATAGCATACGGATGGGCATCGCTTTGAGGTCCGTTTCTGAACATTTAAAGTTTTTAAATTATTTAGAGGCTCCTAAAAAATCTTAGATATTGTTTAATTTGACCTAATTGTTAACCAAAACGGTTTTTCATAACGATTAGCAAAATAATTTTGAAAAATGGTTTTGGTCAAAGAAGCATTTTGATAAACCAATAAAAGCAAACTTATCAAGCATATTCTAATAGTTCTAAAACAGGATGAACATCTCAGATTCTTGGGGAGCGCTTTTTAACGGTGCCCATCTCTAGGTATATCTCGGCATATCTGTATATACAGTAATCACGACTTGTAAACATTGTTTAATCAGTAGAACTTAAGTTTTTAACAATGTTTCGATAACAAAAATAAAAGAAAAAGATGGAAATAGCTATAAAAGGGCGAGCAATTATACTGATCAATAGCACGCCACTAGCTCCTCTAGCACTTCAATTGCTTAACAGTTTTGGGACCTCAGAAACTGAATTAAATAAATTGGAGACGTAAATTATATTCATAGAGGACTCTTTACATATCTTTGACTTATCAAGAACTAAGTTTTCACCAGAGCTAGTAGTTCCTGATAAATGCAGTTTTATAATTTTAAATATCTTTGTTTACTTGAATTACGTGTACAGACCCTTTCAACAAACTCTCAATTTGTAAATTATAATATGAGGTTCCTGATGGATATGTACAGGCTATAAGTTTGCAAAGAAGTGTGTAAACATAATTGTTAACAAATTCAAGAAAACACGAAGACGATTACTACTGTGTAGTGAAGTTGACCACGGAAGATTCACAATACTATAATACTATATCCGCTCCA